AAGCCGAGCGTTCGAGAAATGTCCATGGGTCAAAACCCCGGTGAACCGCCAGTGAACATCCCAATCCAATCCAACCACTAAACTGGGAAGCCTAAAATGGGTGGTGAATTCACCAATCCCAAACTCGGATCCCACGGTTTTGACCACCACAGCTAAATGAAGGAGCTGTTGCCTCAGTGATGGCAGCCAATGGCAGCTTCGGCTGCGACACGCGGCTTGGAACTCCGGAAGCTTAGAGTGCCTATATCCTTTTTGGAAAATAGATGGATTTTTGTCTGGTAAATGGACTAAAACAAATCTAAACCAGTGGAACCCATCTACTTCTAATCAAGCTCACCGATCAAAAGGACGCCCATGGATGCCTACTTGGATTTTCCTTGCCAAGCAGGTGAGCGAGCCACTCGGACTTCAAACCCCAAACCACAAGCTTAACTCTTAGGGGGACCTGTAAGTGGGTTATACCAATAACGTACTAACTTGGCCGAACACCGAAGCAAAGACAGGGAAACACCTCCAAACACCGCCAACATTTACATTTGTTTTGCTTTGTTTTGCTTGCTCATTTTTTGGGGGGAGGGGGGCGGGGGGTGTTCAGGACGGAAAAACCAGTGACACGATCAGCATATGGGACTCCTGCAGTAGGCATTGGAAAGCTTTTGTGAGCAGATTGTGGTTGACAGTGACAAATGAGTCACCCCATGTCGAAAGGCAAAGAACAACATGTTCAAGACTTGTTTAATGATAAATCCATCTGCGACCCTGTGGGTTCTCCGGATGAATCTGAAGTCATGTAGGGCCATTTGCCCTCCGCTTTTTGGCCGAGAGTCGGCCAGCTCTCCGATGACAATACCCTTGTTGCTGGAAATGGCTCCTGACGACCAAGCTGGCACCTGACCATTGTTCAACTCTATGGATGTGTTTTTCGATGGATTCATCTTTGAGATGGGTTTTGAGGGAAAACAAAAGAACACCAACCAGTTTGGGGTCTCCTACACATCATATAGGACTTACAATGCTGCTGCCATCATTTTAGCCAGGCGTAAAGATGTAAGACCAAACAACTGCCCCAAATCAAAAACCTTAAAAGTGAGTCATGAAGAAAAACCAAATCTGGCATTCAAGTGGACCCAAAACCATGAGCGTATGATTCGAATGGGGCCGGGTATGAAACCAAACTTCTAGAAAACGGCTTGGATGTGGCGAATCTTTGGATCCACCGCTGGATATGATATTACAAGCTTGTACCAAAAGATTCCTAAAACAGAAGCAGCGGAACAGGTGAAATCCACAGAAAGCACATCCAAACCGTTTTGCAGAAGATGCGACACATGTTGGTTGCACTTCTTCAGCCCCTGCAGCTTTACCCTGAGGCGAACCTCCATCCAGAATGACCTCCTTGGGCTCAAACCCAGTTTTTGTTGGGAAATAGTGTGCCTCGAAGCAAAAGCATTGGAATGCTGACAACTGAGTTTCTCAGACTCCAGGAGGGTGTATCCCTTGTTGAGGCTACCCCCCCTCTGTGTGGTGTTCAAGGGAAATCAGCATAAAAGCCGAGATGCGCGGTTTTGGGGTCGCGGTCCGATTCAACTGTGACAGCCAAGACTCGGAAGAAGAATCGATGGCACGTCCGCTCAAACACCGCCCTCACCCCAAAAAGGGGTGCTAAAAGCACCCAGCGCCCCCTCTCCCCCCCCAAACCAAAAAAAGGAGAAGGACAAGACACAACAAAAAAACACACACCAATAAGGGGGATATATTGATATAAAAGTTGGTTCTTTCTTCTCTCCTTTTATACTATCTTCTAGTACCCAAGCCCACCAAGCTTCCTCCAAAGGCGTCTTTATCGCGGATCAGGACGTTTGAGATCTGGATGAACCCACTCTCCATCAGTAGCCCTCAGATCCACGGCGGCTTCGGCTTAGGGTCTCCCTTCCTGAGTGCTTCCAATGCTAGAGAGAGTCCAAATATTGACCGTGGCTCACTCCACTTCCTGAGTTCCTGGACTTTAGTCACTTTTTTGGTGTTGGATCATTTTAGTCGAGGTCCCCCAGCTAGGTGCCCTTTCTCATCCTTTTTTGGGGGGAGGGTTTCCCTACTAAAATAGACGTCCTGAAAAAAGTTGGTGCCCTTATTCTAACCTCTCTACTGGAGGACCATTGTAGTGGTGAACAACCAGTTTGGGAGCTTGTTTTTGCTTAAGACCCGACCCCGGGGAAAATGCAAGTTTTGGGGTGGGGCGGGGGTGGGGGGGGGGATGGTTTTGCCGTTCCATCGTGGTGAGCAATCCACATTTCTTCATCGTACTTTGGTGAGGGTGCCCTACTGTGGATGGACGAAATCCTGCACTACTTTGAAACCATGGGAAGCCATTTTTCGTTGGTATTTACAGGGGAATCATCAATCCAGGGTTTCTGAACGGTGGTGCGAAATGGATTTCGCAACACTCCACAGTACGTCATCCCCTTTGCTACAGTAGATGACGGCAAATATTGGCCGCTGCCCACATTTTCCAAATTACACTTCAAGCTTCTGGCTTAAAGGCTGTAAAGCCACCTCCAAAAGAAGCTGTCTGGGACCCCACAGCGTCTTGGGCAAATCTACACATATTAGGGGCTGCTCAATATCCTGTTCGGCCCCGAAAAGACGCAAGGCAACTGTTCCAGATTCGGCCGATTCGTGGAAAACGTTGTCCTAGTGGTTTTTCCCATGGTCACCCCGTGTTCGGACCTGATAACCCCCACATTGACATCTTAACTTTTGTGAATCCAATGGAAAACCAGCTTGATTTCCTTCCATTTGCTTAGGCCCCCGGAAAACACCTCCAGCAGTGATAGATTCCCTTTAAAGCCAACAGGGGGAAATACTCATTTCAGCAAATGGAAGCTTCGGCCAAGCTGAAGTCAGATCCCTGTGCTTCCCGATCGACGGATCGATCCGCAGGATCCAGGCCCGCGCTCGCCCGGGTGGCCCCGCTTTCGCCAGCTCCGAAATGGGGTGGGACTGTGTGTGACTCAAAAAACAAGGGCGGGGTGTCCATTTTTGTCCCTTCAAAGCTTTCAAAACACAGCCAAATGATTTGAACAGAATTCCGTCAAGAGTTGAAACACATTTGATCGCCTCAAATGGCTGTGGCTCAAAAAACCGGAATTCCAAAATGGAACCCTGGTAAGTGGAAAGAAGCATGGACCAAAACCTGCCTAACCCCTCCTGTTTAATTTTGAGCCAGAAATCAACGCACACCCAAATTGGAACTGACAAACATGGCATCTCATAGTGCCGGGTCGCACTCCGTGGCTATCGCGCCGAGGTGAGATCCGCTCGCATTGGAAATGGTGACGCCTGGCGATTTGAGCTCGGCCAAAGCCCAAAAGTCAGGTAGCCCTCACCGTCCCTCCCCCTTTGGCTTCCGTCCTTTTTGGTCTTCCTGTTCTCCAGAACCTCGCTACTACAGATTCACGAACTGAACCGACCAAGACCAGCCTTTTCGGCACTGGAAAATCTTGATCGGATTTCTTGAGGTCTGCTGGTTTGACCATTTCTTTGGCGCAAAAGCCTCGCTTCCCCCCTCCCCCCCTTTTCCTGGGTGATTTGGATGGCTGGATTTTTGTTGCCTCCCCCCTCCCCTGGGTGGAAACCATCCAAACGAAGATCCAAACGGAGGGAAGCCGCAAACTGCGATGGCTTCTAGCAAACTTGGCTGGAAGAACAGGACCCCAGCAAAAAAAATACATGTTTTGCCTAGTTAGTGGAAAACAAAGGGAACCCCAAAAAAGGGAAAACATAAAAAGGGGAAGTAACTCTGGGGAAGCAACACGGTATAAAGCTTGCAAAAACCGGCCTGATCGAAGTGGAGCGTTGGCCAAGCCCAATCGAAAGCCCATTAAGAAAACAAAAGGGGAGTTTTCTTGTGGGCACTCAGTCTTTCTGTTTTACCATCGTGCAGGGCCAGGCCCCATGAGCATATATATATATATATACTTTGTCGCTGAACACGGGGATCAAAGTGGCAACCTAAAAACCCCCAGCTTCCCCAACGATGTCCGAGTTGCGGCCAGAGAATTGTCTGAACATCACGAGGATCTTGATGACGCCGCCGGTTCCTGCGTGACAGTCCTGCGTCAGATCTTGGAACGCTCATAAGGTTTCGCCCAGGACCGAGCTGGCAACCAGTTCGTTTCTGGATCAACCTCGTGCCAGTCCGTCAAGATGTACACTGGCAATGCGTGATGCTTCATGGGAATTGGGTCAAACAAATGGTTAAAAAAATGACACCTTGGCAAATGGAACCAATTCACTCAAACCTGCGGTTTGCCCTAGCTCTTTATTTTTTTTCGCCACACCCACCATGGGAAGACGGACAGAAGGGGAGGGATTGTTGGACCCCATGAATCCGCCGCGTTCTCAGGTCACGGGTCCCGATCCGAAAAAACATTCGCCGCCACCCAACACACGTACCGTATTTTCCTCAAGGAAGCCAACCCCATGTGCCTATGCGTGTCATATGCTAAAAAAAACAACTAAATAACTATATGACTACGAACAGAATTCAAAGCAGGATTTTGCAATCCAAGGGCTTTGAATGGAGAACTCTCGGTTTGATGGGACAAGCTGCTTGCAAACTACCAGCAACATTGCCAGGCATAGCGATGTCGGCCCTCTCACAGGGCCCTTGAGCCTTCTCAGGCATGAGTAGAAACATCCCCCCTACCATAAGGGGGAGGGAGGTGGGGGATCCCCAATTCCAGTTATCTAGTCTTCCCCTTACGAAGGAAATGGAACCATAAATGGAATTCCAGGGGTCACCCCCCTCCCACAATTCCATATTTAAGGGGGTGGGGATGTAGAAACACAGACTCGTGCCATGCGGCGGTGCAGTTCGCTGATGAGGACCAAGATGCTCATCAAGATGGGATTTCTCTTTCATTGGCGAGCAATGTCTTTCCCATCTTCACCCGCCAGTTTACCCGTGAATTGATAGGTGGGTGAAATAAGATGGCTCTGGCAACTGGCCGGCAGGGCGCCCAACGTGACTGATTACGGCGATTGGCAGCGCACTGAGCAGTCTCTTTCTAGTCTGGGCTGCCCTCAGATCCCCCGCTAAAAGTGACTTACTTTTAAGCACAAAACACTAAAAGGCTAAACAGCTAAGGGGATGGCTGGGGGTCACCAAGTTTCTAGTGGTGAGTCCTCCGCGCAAATGGCTCTGTGCAAGTAGCTCTGCGCACTCGAGACCATCCGCCGGATCATGGAATAACCCTTCGCGATTCTCTCGGGACAAAGGAAACCAACAGTCTCCCCGGTTTGGCTTCCAACTTGGGTGTCCTTTGTGAATCGCCTGAAAAAGGTCCTCGTGACCAAGGAGTGTGAAAATATGATCAAGGGGTCCCTTTTGAAGGGAAACCAATGATAGAATGAAACGCACCAACGACCTAAAAACTGGATCCACCAACAGCGAAGCCGATTTGGGTGTGTCTTGTAAGCTGGGAAACCACCAAAAAGGTTCCTTCTGGCGTCCAGGTAAAACCATGCAAGAAGGGTACCACAAAACAATCAAAACGAGACAGACCTTTCATGTGCATGCTTGTTTGCCCCCTGGAAAACTGAGAACATATGTCCGGTAGTGATAGATTGTAATTTTGGGACCAACAAAGGCAAATAACCAAAATATGACTACATCCAATTTGGGTGTGTCTTTCAAGCAGAGAAGCCACCACAAAAAAGAACACAAAAACTTGTGGCTTCAATCCAAAAAGCCTACCATCCAAAAGAGACCGACCCATTTTGGTAGCAAAACAACATGTTTTCTGCAGCCCCCTACACAAAAATGCACGGAACCAAAAACACACGAAAAACCCGGACACTTGAGTCAACACCAGTGAAGCCATTTTCTGCGTGTGTCCTTTAAGTAGGGCAACCTTTTTCCATCCAAAAAACATACCCTCCCACCAACATGGAAGTACAAAAAGGCCAACTCACCAAGAAAAAAAGTCGTCTTTCAGGGGTCTTTTTGCGCAAACCCATGTTAGCTGCTGGGAGGGTGCCAGCCCCCCACAAAAAAACGACGTGCGCAAACCCATGTTAGCTGGTGCGAGGGTACCATCCAAAAAAACAATCCGACGCGACCAAACTGACCAAGCCGTCGGCTCCTTAAAGTGCAGCTCGCCGCTGTGCAGCTCCAAGCTGTTGGCCCAGATGCCAGCCCCCTCGATCAACGTGCTGGCATCTTGCACGAAGGTCACCTAAGTGTTCTAAACCCAGTTGCGGTTTCTATTCAGACCCTTTCGGGGTTAGGAGTCTTCTGTTTCAAGGGTAAGGAGAATCGGTTTTCGGGGTTAGGAGGGTATGTGCAGTTGCGGAAGAGAAATATGAGAAAAATATCTGCCGCGAAGGCAACCCCCGGAGCTTCCGAAATGGCTTTGAAGAGGGAACCGCGCCCTTCCGCGAAGCTTCCGTGAAGCCTCTGACGAAACCTCATACCCCAACCCTCTCATGATCTCCGCTGCTATTCCAAAGTCCAGCCTTTTGAGCATTGCCCAATCCTGTTCATGGCTCCTTTCATGGGGGGGGGGCTGAAGCTTTTCTACAACCAAAGTACTCTATCTTCCTAGTCTCCCAATCCCCTGACAGCAAGCCAACCAAGCCAACCAAGCCGCAAAAGCACAAACACCAATCGCCCGACTGACATTGCTCCGAATTCTCGGCGCGAGTTTCAAACATCTCTAAAAACAGGTCACCGGAAAGCCTCCGAATAAATTCGCTCGCTAGTCATTTGGGGCTGTCTGTTTTCAGGCGCGACCCCAAGATGGTGGCTTTCCTGTTTTCCTGTTTGCACTGCTTTCTTCGTATTCCGGAGCACCGGAATCAGGGGTCCATTTGAGGAGACGAGAGAACTATTTTAAGCGGGGTGCCTTTGACTGGTAACATCGTCAGGTGAAACAAGAACTTGGCTCCGACCGGGCTCAGCACCTACAGGGAAATATGGATACATTTGAATGACCCTCCTGGAATCGATTTGGGGTTTCATTCTGCAAATTTTACAATATGGTTGTGGGTCAAGAATAGGTACCCAAAATGGAACCCTGGCAAACGGACATAGAGACTAAAACCTGCGGTCCCCTGGTGGTTGAATTTTGACCCATACCCATAGTGTCATTTCCTGAAGTAAGGGATGAGAACGCTGTGAGTTCTGCAGACTCATGTCCACCAACCACTTCTTTTGAGGTGGCTTCCCCCAACTCTTTTTCCACACCCAATCCCCAGCCGTGCTGTTGGGGTCATTTGCCAAGCCGATTGGGGTCAAAGACGTTCCTTGGCTATGCGCCATCTCCTGCCAAAAGTAAATGTTTGATTTTGTGTCAAAGGATGCCACGGGATGGATTTCTATATCTCAAGAACGCATGCGCAAAAGTCAGTGGTTCAGACTGTCTGTTTTCAAAGCATGGGCACAAAAGCGAAACAAAAATCCATGCCCCATTTGCATGAACTGTTTGCCAATAAACCGATTCGGTGAGGGTCCTTATTTTTGGACAGGAGCAAGCTGAAGACCTCCCTTCAAGGAATCTCAGGAAAGCAACAGAGAAGAAAGCCCTTGATCGAATCGGTGGCTGTAAGGGTGACTGCCAGGGCCATTTTCATTAGACCTAGTTTTTCCTAGTGGTCAGGTGGGCGGTCGGCCGGAAGCCACTGCCACAACGCAGCAGCGTTTGGCCTGGCAGCTGCCTGCGAGTGGTTTCGAGATTCGAGGCCATTGAGTGGGGCCGACAGGTCAGCAAATGCTTGGGCACATGCAAGGTGTCAGTGCCAATTAAAAGAACACGGGAGGGTTAAGGATCGTTCCCAAAAGGACCCACACCAAACAGGGCGCCAATTAACAGCAAACCAGCCGGTCTTAAAGCTTTCTCCGCAAATTCAGGAAGGTCGGTCCTTTCATGAGCATCCCCATCCCCAGGCCCATTGGACCAAACAGAACTCAGGCAAGGGCAGGCTTGCGTGTGGCACGCTGGACACTCAGGCACGAGTCGCAAACAAGAATGCCCACACTTGCGCGAGGTGTGGTCTTCACCTTTTCTTTCCCGAAATTCCCTGAAGGGAGTTCAGCTCGCTCCTGTCCAAAAGACAAAAACCTCGCTGAATCGGTGTATTGGGAAGAAAATCGTGCAACTGGGTCATGGCTTGTGTTTCCATTTTGCGCCCACGCTTGGAAAAAACAGGCACTCTGAACCACTGACTTCTGCGCGTGTGTTCTTGAGAGAGCCATCCCGTGGCATCCTTTGACAAAACTTCAAGCATGTGTCTCTGGCAGGAGATGGCGCAATGACCCCATGTTTCTGTATCCAGTTCTGTTTCATCCATTTTCCAAGGTTTCCATTCATTCCATCCGGTTTCCATGCGCCAGTGAACCAAATGAAATGAGGCAAGGAACAGTGAACTGACTGAAATGATGCAATACAGAGCATCTGGTGTTGGGCGTTTTGAAAGGCAAAAAATGGAAGCCCTCCAGTGCTCCCAAAGCGGATCCCTTCAAGAAGTGCTAGACGAGCATCTGTTTGGGGAACGTGACGATGTGATGAAGGGCCCCTGGCCATCAAGACTGCCGTTGATGGCAAGTTCTGCACAGGCGAGAATGTGCACAGAAAAAAAGATTGAAGGGTCCGAACTGAGCATTTCACTAAGTGCCCGCTGTGCCATGTATCCCCCGGAAACTGTGCGCAGCGCTTGCAGATGCCATCGCGACAGGGTGGCTGCAGCGTGTTGTCCGTTTGCCTGCCTGGCGTCTCTGCCTGCACTCATTATTGCATTTGCTGCGGATCTCCATTCCTGAAGTTTGAAACATGCGATCCGCAGATTTTTGGAGATCAGCAGGATTCTTTCGATCAGTGTTTTTTTGAGATCAGCAATACTTTTTTCTACCGCAAAGATCGGCAGATTTTCATGGACATCTGCGGATCTCATGATGCAAACTTCAGGAAAGATCCGCAAAAACTGCAATAATGAGTGCAGGCAAAAACGGCAGAGAGGCAGGCAGGCGAAACGGACACTAATCTGCTGAAGCTATTGGTTTTTCTCCCACCTCTGAGCGATCCAGGATCAGACAACACGCTGCAGCCACCCTGTCCCGATGGCATCTGCAAGCGCTGCGCACAGTTTCCGGGGGATACATGGCACAGCGGGCACTTAGTGAAATGCTCAGTTCGGACCCTTCAACCTTTTTTTCTGTGCACATTCTCGCCTGTGCAGAACTTGCCATCAACGGCAGTCTTGATGGCCAGGGGCCCTTCATCACATCGTCACGTTCCCCAAACAGATGCTCGTCTAGCACTTCTTGAAGGGATCCGTTTTGGGAGCACTGGAGGGCTTCCATTTTTTGCCTTTCAAAACGCCCAACACCAGATGCTCTGTATTGCATCATTTCAGTCAGTTCACTGTTCCTTGCCTCATTTCATTTGGTTCACTGGCGCATGGAAACCGGATGGAATGAATGGAAACCTTGGAAAATGGATGAAACAGAACTGGATACAGAAACATGGGGTCATTGCGCCATCTCCTGCCAGAGACACATGCTTGAAGTTTTGTCAAAGGATGCCACGGGATGGCTCTCTCAAGAACACACGCGCAGAAGTCAGTGGTTCAGAGTGCCTGTTTTTTCCAAGCGTGGGCGCAAAATGGAAACACAAGCCATGACCCAGTTGCACGATTTTCTTCCCAATACACCGATTCAGCAAGGTTTTTGTCTTTTGGACAGGAGCGAGCTGAACTCCCTTCAGGGAATTTCGGGAAAGAAAAGGTGAAGACCACACCTCGCGCAAGTGTGGGCATTCTTATTTGCGACTCGTGCCTGAGTGTCCAGCGTGCCACACGCAAGCCTGCCCTTGCCTGAGTTCTGTTTGGTCCAATGGGCCTGGGGATGGGGATGCTCATGAAAGGACCGACCTTCCTGAATTTGCGGAGAAAGCTTTAAGACCGGCTGGTTTGCTGTTAATTGGCGCCCTGTTTGGTGTGGGTCCTTTTGGGAACGATCCTTAACCCTCCCGTGTTCTTTTAATTGGCACTGACACCTTGCATGTGCCCAAGCATTTGCTGGGGACCTGTCGGCCCCGCTCAATGGCCTCGAATCTCGAAACCACTCGCAGGCAGCTGCCAGTCAGCCAAACGCTGCTGCGTTGTGGCAGTGGCTGCTTCCGGCCGACCGCCCACCCACCTGACCACTGGGAAAAACTAGGTCTAATGAAAATGGCCCTGGCAGTCACCCTTACAGCCACCGATTCGATCAAGGGCTTTCTTCTCTGTTGCTTTCCTGAGATTCCTTGAAGGGAGGTCTTCAGCTTGCTCCTGTCCAAAAATAAGGACCCTCACCGAATCGGTTTATTGGCAAACAGTTCATGCAAATGGGGTCATGGATTTTTGTTTCGCTTTTGTGCCCATGCTTGGAAAACAGACAGTCTGAACCACTGACTTTTGCGCATGCGTTCTTGAGATATAGAAATCCATCCCGTGGCATCCTTTGACACAAAATCAAACATTTACTTTTGGCAGGAGATGGCGCATAGCCAAGGACAACCTATGACCCCAATTGGCTTGGCAAATGACCCCAATAGCTGGGGATTACCCGTTTCTCTATTTCTGGCAAAATACGCCGTCCCGGTGCTCCCAGTCACCAATAACCAAGGGAATCCATCATGTAAAATTCAAAGAGGTAAGCATCCCTTACCTACGAGAGTGGCGTCTCTGGCTATTACTCCAGATTCATGTGATGGGCCAAAATTAAGCCACAAAAACAGGTTTTCGTCCTTTCCATTTACCGATCGGCGCAACCCAATTTGGGGGCCAACCGCGCCCAGATGTCCGGCAGGATACTTAGTAGGTAGCCAATAAGCCCGGTTATAGCCCACTGAACGAGACAATGTTAACCAGTTACTAACCACTTACCTGACGCACCCTGCCGCTTTGAGTGCACCCCTGACACGCTGGCCGAGTATCGCCGCCCTTCACAGCAACCCTCCCTGCGTGCAGCGCTCCGCCACTCTGGGCGCGGGAAGTCCTAGCGACTTGGAAAACGACAAACGGCCTGTCGCGCACCGACACCATTAGCACTCAGATGGCCCGTAAAGACAAGCTGTGACGTTACGCCATTGCAAGCCGAGAGCAGCGATAGCGCGCAAAACAAACAAAGTCAGCAACCTTTTGGCAAGCACGGGACTCTTGTCAAGAAGCTGCGCCATACCAAAAAAACAAAGACACATCACCAGCCCACAACACGTTTGCAAAATCCGAAACAACAGGAAACGCGTTGCAGAGAAGAGTGTGGACTCAAGCTGCCAAACCTTTACCTACAGAGAGCCTGGCCTTTTTGTTCTGCGCAGGGGTGTGGTTGCGGCTAGTGGCCAGTTGGGTTTCAGACCTTGTGGGCTGTGCCCTCAAAACGAGGCTCGTGGCGTCAAACTGTGAACTGCAGGCGCCCCGTAAAGTCGTCAGCAGGGTATTTGTAGCCCGGACCTTTTCAACGCACATCCCGACACTTCCAGCGCACATACCACAGCGCCTTAGGGTGGGACTTGTTCCCTTTTGCACTCGTCTAAAGGAAGTTGGTGAAAGTTGACTCGTAGAGGGGTGACAGGATGAAGGGACCCAAGACCCTGAATCTGAGCAACGACCTCAGATATTGAGGTTTTTTGGATCGCAATAGGTCGTAGGTCATGTGCTTGAATGGTTAATATTCCTACAACAGCAGCCTGGAGTCTCCAACACCATTTGGGCCTGAATTTGGGGCGCCCCCTGGATCCCCTAGTTTTGAAGGGTCAAGTAGACCCAGAGAGCAAAACAAATGAAAAACAAAAAACAAACGCCACCAAAAGGCATGCCACAAGAGTCCGGCAACCTCAACCGAAGCGTCCATCTGGATCCAAACCTCATGATGTTAAAGTGGCGCTTAGGCCACAATCCTTTAATTGCATCAAGATGTGAAATTGTATCACACGCGCTTTTGAGCCTTGCATCGGTATGTGAAACCGCGTCAAGCCCAACTCGTGACTCACAAAGCAAAATACTTATCACAAGTCTAATCACACCTTTTGTTTGTTTTGCCAGGTGTATCCCAATCAGACCATGCCAACGGCTTTGTGCGCGAGCTAACATCATCCTCATTGGGCCCACTCAGTAAATCGGAATATCCAGAGATACTGCAATGGCATTACAATGCCTGCCCTGGATGTCACCCGATCTGCAAACTCTCTTGCAGGTTTCTTCCCCGAACAACCCATCTCCATGTAGTGCACCTCATACTCATAAGAAACCATATCCAGTCTCTTCCAATTGGAAATGTGAAGCGATCCAACATACTGTCCAAATCGAATGTTTCTAGACGCACGTTTGAATAGTTAAGCATGTCCATGTAGTCAGTGGAAGCTGCACGGAGAACCAAATCATTCGTGATTTGAGCACCGATGAGCGCGTTGGTGAACAATAGGTTCAAGAGCAAATTTTGGCTTCAAAATTTCGGAGTGTCAAAATGCGGTACGGCACTTTGGACTTGTGTGCAACGCAGCGATCGTGATGATGGCTTTACTCGCAAGCCGTGGAAACAGCGAATCTTTGCCCGGTGAAGAGCCGCTACCTCAGACAACTCAGACACCATTTTGGATGGTCTGGATGCTTACCATTCTTCGGTTCCTGGCATTTGTGCACGTACGTGGCTAGGGCTCCGCTACCATGTTAAAGTGGCTCTTAAGCCACAATCCTTTAGTTGTATCATTGTGTGATATTTTATCACACACGCTTTTGGGCCTTGCGTCGCTATGTGAAACTGTTCGGTGTCAAGCCCAACTCATGCAAATCTGCATCACGACACACAAGCAGAATAAACTATACAGAGGAGTACAAAAAGGGGGGAGCGCTTCTCACAAGTCTAATCTCATCAGGTTCTCCTGTTTATGTCGGGGATTCCCTTGGTATCCATGGGTGGGGTATGTTTGCTTGCCTGGTCCTGTTCAGTACATGCGGAAATGCAGATGCGTTTGCCCTGTGATGTTTTCACTGCAGCATGGCAGAATGCCTAAGAAGTTCCACCGGCTTCCGAGGCCCAAAGTCCTGATGCTGACGTTGCCCTTCAGAACCAGAGTCTCCTCGACCCTGATCGCACCTGAGGCGCACGTCACTTTCCTTGAAGGGGAAAACCTCTTTCAGCCATCCTTTTAGACTTTGGCATGCGGGTGTGAATTGAAAGGGACTCTCTCGCCATTGACGGGAAAATGTCCACCATGATTCATGAAACATCATGGGCATCAAAATGTTTGGATCTGGCGCCGTGGTTGTCCTTTTGGTTTCCAATGCCAACACGTTTGGGGTACCCGCAAGACACATGTCCATCGAGGACAGAAGGCGCTGGAGCAGGGGTTTGCCCCCGGCAAAGGATCTGAGAGAGAAACTAAACCCACCAAGTCACAAGACTTTGGACATGTCTTCCCAGAAAACCATTTGTTCCCCCATGTAGGTTCGGTTTTCGCTTCAGCGGGGACAATTGGGAGAGTAGGTCATTTTGTCAGATGCTCCTTTGCTTTTGTTACCAAGACTTGTCGTCCAGGAGCCACCGCCCACGCAGAAACATCAACCGAGGTTAGTTGCCACTTTGCTGTGGCTTACATACAAATGTACCGAAATTGCAGCTTGGTATATCCTGGAAAGCACACTAGACTATACAACCTGCGTATCCCCAGCTCTTGAAATTTGAGCCACACCCACTTGAAATCTTGACTTCGTTGGCTCACTCCGCTGGAAGCTACAGACCACTTGAGCAGGTACGGAAACTGCCCGTTAACAAACCGTCAGTAACCGCTTAAGATCCTTGGCCTAACCACCCCTAGCTGCAGATCAGCTGGATGCTTGAATATTCTTGACCCCGGATCAACCAACCCCGGTGTATTAATTTAAGGGTAGGGCCTGCCAAAAGTGGTCTGAGTACCCCGCAACCAGGGAGCCCCTCCATGGTTTTGCGAAACTTGGGTTTGTCGCTTATCTGAAGTTTTAGAGGTTGCCACTGCATGACGACCCTCAAAATAACTCGTACCCACGATCCGCGCCTCCATACCTTGCTTCCACCTTTTTGAAGGTGGCCAACCCGCGCAGATCCCCGTGGACCGCGTTGATGCCCCCGCCTGGCGGCCATCACGACTCACCATCGCGGATAGCCATCAGAGACGGCGCTCGTTTTCTTCTGATCCCTGCTGAAACAGACTACCTTGTAGGAAAAATGGAAATCCAACAGGTGAGGTCTCGTTGCGAGAAATGAAGTTCAAGCTCAGGAGTCGTAAACTTTTGGGGGGGAGCAATTGGACATGGCGCATGTCTGCTCACCCAGATTAAAGGGATTCTGACACTTGAGCAAGTTGGGCCTGCCTACTGTTTTGTTCAGAGCATCATGTAGGAAATGGTCTCTTTCCCGACCCGAAACAAGCTTGTTTTCTTTGGTTTCTCGTGAAATCCCCACGTCTAAGATAGTGATCAACCTGTCTTGCGTACAGTTCTCACGCCATTGGCAAAGGATACAACAGCTCTTCTCAGACCAGCGAAAACTTTGCGAAAGCTGCCGTGCCATTGGAAAGGCACCAGCCATACAACAGCTGCTCCCTCGCCAGAAGTTCAGACATGCCCTAGGATGACCCTGCGAGCGGGTTGTGAGCCGATGTCTTTCTTATAGCGCTGGCTCATGAAACGACAGGCTTCCCGTTTGAGCAGGGCCCTTTTCACAAGCCCTCATCCGAGCCAATGTTCACGAAACGGAACTTTTGTGAAATTGGCCTTCGTTGTTGCATTCGCTCCTTGGTTCAGCCTTCGCTCGCGCCCAGCTTTCTTCCAAGGCTCTAAGACCTTGCAGCAAAGCAAGGCTTCTCGCACTGTCAACTCCAAAGCGCTCTGTCCAAGTTAGAGCCAACAACGGCAGCGGAGATTACGCGCAACCTGGCCACCATGCTACACAACTGCTCCACAGACATGCGCGAATGAAGCCTAAGATGCTAGGAATGCAAACAAATTATTGGCTGAGCAGACTGCTCACAATGAAAAGCCTTCGTTTTTAAGACTCGCAGTCGTTTTGGGCGGTGTTGGACCCTATTCCACTCCAATACATACCTGGAACTTCCGGGGGTCAAAAATTCAAGGCGTTGGCCAAAAAAACACGATGTTTCTTGGCGTTAGCGTGAAAAAATGCTTTTAGGGGGAACAAAAACGCTGGTGGTCATATTTGTGTGCGCCGCGGTCGGGAATGTTCGCCCGTGGGTCGGGAGTTTTCGCCTGTTGGTCGGGAGTTTTCGCCTGCAGATTCGGGACGATTTCGCTTGACACCCTAGACTCTAATTGAGCCAAACAAGGCAATTCGTAGCTAAAAGGCGCAAATGTTGAGCCTACAGGAAGGTCCAGGTATCCCTTCTTCCGACCCTTTGTGGTGGCAGCTCAAACAAACCAAAACCAAAAAACAGCTGGATGGCATTCTTCGGCCTTGGTTTTGCTCACCAAACACCAATTGATTTGTGCTTTGCTTACTAGAGGCCGCAAGAAAACCCCAAAAAACAACCCGCCGCAGGTTCCCGGCGAAGGGAAGCTCCGGGCGGGCGAGCGCCTGCGGAGCTCAGGGCCTTGCAGCGCAGGAAGTGCATGCGCCCAGCACGGCCTCGGGCCACTTCTTGTCGTAAGGGGAGCAAATGTTTGGATTCGAGCAGTTCGGTGGATAGCTGGCTTTGGCCTAGATTTGGCTATGGCTTGGTTGACGTTGGAAGGGGAGCAAAAAAGCAGTTCGGTGGATGTCAACCAAACCACAAGAAGCAAACATGTAAAAAATGTGTCCCGACAAGAACCATGACTTAGGGATTTGTGCTTATTTTGTGGGTGTTGAAACTTAGCTTCAACCAATCGAAAGGACGATTTCACATGACATGTATGTTGTGGGTGTTGAAACTTAGAGATCCGTACAAAAGGATGACACAAAAAAGGTGAAGCTGTTCTCAGGGGACCCTTTTTTGGGTTTTAAAGGGGAAGCCAAAAGAAAACCACCATGTTTTTTTTGGGGGGGTCCATAAATTCTCACCGAAACAACAAAAATGGAAGAGTCGCCGATTTTTTTGGAGGGCAATCTCCAATTTGTGAGGTTGTTTGAGGACCGATTGGGCCAACAAAAAAAACACTTTCTATATGCTACCAAAGTGGTCCCAAGTTTAAAAGTTAGAACCTCAAGTAAGAAAAGGAGCTTCTTTGCAAGGGCATTACCTTTTGTAACACACTACACTTTTTGTCCAACATACTCTTATTACAGAAAATCAGCTTCCCTCCAATTGATGGTTTGGATTGGTGGTTTGGTCAAGGAGTGGTTTCCATTTACCCTCTACAAGAAGCAGGGGGTCAAACCACCACGTCGGGGTCACCTGAGAAAAGAGGGTTGCAAAAAAAAAAACGGAGCCCGAGCTTCCTTTAGACATGTCTTCGGCCCCCCGCCTTGGTTCACATCTCGCGCAAAGAGGCCACCTCCCTCGCCCATACTGGCGCGATCGAGGGGCGCGTGCACGCGGGAGTGGCGACTTCGGGTGCCGATTTTTTCAAAGGCCCCGAGTTGGCCAACTTCCAGTTGCTTGTTCCACCGCATGAGAATGTCCAACCCCAATAGCAAAAAGAACTCAGGGAGCGAGTGGCTTCCATTTGCTTTCTCCCCCCTGGAAAAATGATAAAACATGTCCAGTAGTGATAGATTCCAAATTTTAGGGCCAAAAGGCGAAAACACCAAATAGTCTTAAGCAGATGGAAGCCAATCCGACATGTTCCCCGACAAACGTGCGGACCAGTGGTGCCCAAAAAGCATTCGAGGGAAACTACAGGTTTAGGGATGCGAATTCATATTAGCTCCCCCAGTGACTTGTTTTCATGACTGACAACGGTGAAACAACCAATCTAGGGTGCACAAATAAGAGTCATGATTCCATGTTGTTCGGGCATCAGGATCTATAACCTGAGTGTGGCGCTCTTTTGACCCTCGTATTTCATGCACTGTTCAAGGGGATCCAGAAGGGCATCAAAACATACAGATCGTTCCCACCAGATTCCCCGCATCTCCCCTTTCACACCAAAGAAACTCCCCTTAAATTGGCATCCGAAAGGTGATGTTTAACACCAACCCATTTGGACCCTGGTGCCGGCTTGTGCCGCCTTTTAAAGGGGATACCAAAGGGCCCCTACTTTGACAAACATTCACATATGATGTGGGTCAAAAATAGGCACCCAAAATGGAACCCTTGTAAATGGAACCCAGGACGAACACCTGCGGCCCCAAGGTGGTGTAAATTTGCCCCATACAAATAACAAAACAAAAGTCAAAGAAAAATACATAATTCCAAACAGAGCCAACTAAAACCAAACAAAGCCAATAAAACCAAATGCAACCCCTGCAAGCCTGTGCATGTTTTTGGCACCAACCTGGAAGTGCAGTCGGTGAAGGTCATGGTGCCACCAGACTGGGTGAGCACGCCGGGCTCTGTGGGCATGTAGAGGCCTCCAGGAGGCGCAGAATCGCATTTGGTCTGAGCAAAAACTCTCAGTATTCTCTCACTTCCCAAGTTGACTGGCCAAAAAAAGTCTGAACTTTTTTATGTACCACTAAAATGGTCTTTCCAAAAGTTTAAAGTCCATCAACTCAGGAAGTGAGTTCTAGGGTTGATTCCCCTTTCAACCATCGTTCTTTCCTCAAAAACCGGATCCGTTTTCCCTGGGTGTCCGGAGGTCTTCTAGAAAGAAGGACCCTGGAAGAATGGAAATGGAAGGTACCCCTGGAAGTATACGTCCATTTGCTGGTTCGCCCGCCTGGAAGACACCGGTCGTGGTAGATTACCATTAAAACCAACAAGGGAAAATATATATATATAAACATATTCTTAAGCAAATAAAAGACTAAGGTGTCTAATTTGGGGGCAAGCCACCGGTTCTCTAGGAAACAAGGGAAACCATGCATGATGTAAAACCTGGCAAGAATCCCTGGCTACGATAATGGCTGGCCTGGAAGCACTGGATTTGCGAGCTCGGTCAAAGGAACAGAGTCCCCCTCTTTTCGGGGGTTACAGGAAAAAAAAACACCCCTACTTCGGCTCATACCCTGCGGAAGGACGAGCTCATGCACCACATATACAAATCCCATGGTTTCAACCTGACGCGCCAGGGAGTTCACGGGTGTGAACTTCTAGGTCCTCCAGTGAGGTTCGAATAAGAATACCAACTTGTTTCTGTCTACTTTAGTAGGGGGACCCTCCCAACCAAAAAAGAAAAGAGAAGAACACGACTGGGGGACCTAGTGAACCTCTATTTGAGTGTGGCTGAACACTAAACAGGAGGGGTTTCGCAGGTTTTGGTCCATGTTGCCACTTGCCAGGGTTCCATTTTTGTACCGGTTTTTTGAGCCACAGCCATTTTAGTAGGGGACGGCAAAACCCAGCCTCCTCCCGTCTGAGCCGTGCAGTTCTTGAAGCTCAGATGTCCACCTGAAGCGCGCGAAAGGGCGAGGAAGGGGAACCGAGAAACATCGGATTCTTCTGCACAAGCGGGAGGTCCACACAGACATTGACCCCATAGGCCCCAGATTTTGACCATCTGAACATTTCAACTTGGGGAATGTCAACTGGAATTCCATGTGCATGGCTGTGGTTGTCAAGACCGTTTTGGGATCCCATCTTGGTTGGTAGGTGAATTCACCACCCATTGTGGAACCTATTTTAGTGGTTGGATTGGGATGTTCACCGGGGCTACGATTTGGCTTTTGACCCATGGCCAACTGTCACGGCCCTGAAGGGAAGGGAGGGGAGGGGGGTGACAGGGGGAGGGAGCCCAAATGCCTTCATGAGCCCTGAAGAATGAGAGCTGAAGAATGAGAGCTGACCCCACATTAATCAACCAACCAGCTATTCATAGGGGGGGGGTGCTTCTCCCTGGTGAAAAAAAAAGTGGGGAATCAAACCACTAAAAAGGAGGGGCCAAAACCACCCCCTTTTTGCTTAATAAACTCAGTTGTTCAGTGACCCTGGACAAAAAAGGGAACCCTTTTTTGGGCTTGGACCATTTTAGTGGGGCAGCCACCATGAAAAAGGAAAAATCATTGGAGCCACTGAACAACTGAGTAAACTAGAGTTGATTGACCTGGGGTCAACACAGCCATCCGACTCCTCCGGCCTTTCAGCTGGGTTTCGCTGGCGAGTTTCCAGCGAAAAAGCTTCGGACAGCTTCGGATTGGTGCGGATGTTTGGACTTCAACGAGGGTTCTTCTGGCGAAATTAGATGGTAGATGGGAACCCGCCAATCAGGGGGCACCTGCAACTTCAAACCTGCAACTTCGCCTGGACAAAAGGAGTAAATAGGTCCAGTAGCGGTAAATTCCAACTGTAAAACCCGAAAAGGAAAAACAAGAACATATGGCTGTGGGTCAAAAACCGGTACCCAAAATGGAACCCTAGTGGGAACCTGCACTAACACCTGCAAGCTCCCAGGTTTAATTTTGACCCATACCCATATTCCTTTCAGCAACTGGCAGGAGCCTCATTTGTGTCAAGGCCATTTGCAAGCATTGGGCTTGGACTCACGGAGGATTATATACGCCTTACACACTTCTCACTGAACACCTGACACGAAAAAAACCTCCAAATACCAGCAACTGTGCTGGTACCACCAGCAAATCAACGAGTAAACAGGCTAATGCAAGTTGGAGGGTCCAGCATGAACTCGGACATATTCAACGTTGCATTTCATTTCCTAAGCCTCCAAAAGTCATCCGTGAACAGCCTTAGATTTGGGAAATCCAGCAAGCCAAGGAAACACACAAGCCAAGGGGCCCGTAAAATGCAAACGAACCGCAACCTGGGTTGTCCTACCATAGCGAAAGTTCTTGAGGAATCGCGAGACTTTCCTCTAGTTTTGTGAGGCAAGCCAAGCACATGCGGAACAATCATCTTCTGCCCCCCCAAAAAAACAAGCACTAAAATAAACCTAATAACCTTAATAATAGTAATTGTAATATAGAATGGCAGTTTCCCCTTGGCTGTTGCTTTAAATTCCCCCCCCCCCCCCCCGCCCGCCAAAAAAAAGAGTCCTTCCAAAGACAGAGTGGCGGACAGTGAGCATGAACCGTTGAATCATTCAATAAGAGGCCCAGGTGGTATTTTCAAGAGTCGGAATCTTTTGGGAACAGCCCGCGAACTCTGAGCAACCGCTCCATACACCCGGAACCTTATAGAGCACCTTCCTTTCAGGAACCCTCCGGAACCCTCCGGAACCCTGCACGTGAAAAGAGCCCCCCCTATATCCAAGGGCCTGGTGTTCACCCACTGAAATCCCCCCCCCCCCCAAACAGGCAACAACTCCGATTGCTCCGCATCGGCCTGTGGTAAGGCTGCCATTTTTGAGGAATAAGCCTCCTCCTTGGCGCGGATTGCGAAAAGCGCAAGAGTGCTTGGACCGGCTCCGCATTTTCTACCTCGGGCTTGCTTTTTTTCCAAGGGCCCCTCTTCGGGATCCTGTTTTAACTTGAAAATTGACCCCTCCCCCCGAAATCGAAAAAATAACAAAAAGAACAGGTCAGAACTTTAAGGTCAAGCCAAGCGCGCAACTTGGGCTCCTGGTCCGTGCTGATTTTGTGTAACTGAAACCATGTGAGCATTGGCGCCAGGCGAAAGCAACCTTGCGGAGTTGAAAGGAGAAAGATGTCCGCCACCCAGCCCCCCTCAAAACAAACCGGGCAAACACGAGGGATGATCTCTGAAATTCGACACATTCGTGTCAATCAACCAGGCGTCTCACTGATTGAAGTGACATCCTCCAAATGACCCTCTACATACCGATTCCAAGAACACATTCTGCCAACCCCTCGAGCGCGTTACCTAGTGCTGCCAGCCTTATCATAGGTGGCCTTTTGGAAAACCAGATGGATTTCCCTGGTAAATGAAACAAAACCCATCTAAACCAGTGGAACCCATCTATTTTTCACCAGGCCCACCGATCAAAAGGAGACCTATGAGCCTTACGCTTTTCTCAATCCTTTGCTTGCCAGGCTCCTCCGCCCAGTTTGGCCACGCCATGCTCAAAGGTCGCCTGTCCGGCGTTGATGACCACGTGGCCGTACGCAAAGACTCCTGCAAAACCCAGCGGCAAAGTGCTCCAACTTTTAGGAAACCTTAAAATGGCCATGGGTCAAAAATAGGTACCCAAAATGGCTTGCCCTGGTAAATGGAAACATGGACTAAACCTGCGGTCCCGTGGTGGTTTAATTTGGACACATACCCAGGTGTCAATGGGTTGGGGCTGGTTTCCCTTTGAAATGGGTTGGTTTTGCTTGAGATGGCCCGGTTCCCCAATTTCTCTTGAAATGGATCGGCTTTCCTCGAAATGGTTGGCTTCGTTGCTTTCCCTTGAAATTGGTTGGGCTCCCTTGCAGGGCCATAAACTTGCTCTTGATCGGGACTTGGTCCTATTGTACAGGCTGGGAACACAACCCATACCCGGGCTTTGGATCAGGTACTGGGTGCCCTGCCTTCATCGGTTCTTCGCGTTTACTGTTGCGCCTGACCCGCACAATTCAGCAGTGAAGTTCGCAGGCGAATGTTTCAAAACGTAGTTGGGAACCAAGCCATCCCCCACCTTCAGACATGACAAAGCTGTGTTTGCCCAACGGCCCGCATTCGAGGTCGCCCTCTGCGCGCGGCGCACTGTCATGAGTAAGGATGCGGAGGAAACTCGGAGCCCAACGGCCCCAGCGCCTGCACCCTCGATCGCCTGGCAAAAGCTGAAGAAGAGCTCCGAGCCCATGCTCAGCATGCCCCTCAGACGCTTTCGCCCCCGGCGAGCCGAGTGCTTCCAGTTCATATTGACCCCCTATGAATCAACCCCAGCTTATTCATAGGGGGCTGTTCCCCTCCAAAAGTGAACCATCCCTACTAAAACCAGGGACACTTCCATGTTAGTAAACATGGGTTTGTTAATAGGGGGTGTTCATTAAGTAGGTAACCAAGGGAAACCATGATGCCATATAAAGAATTTTCCTGGTTCCCTCCTTTTTTGTGGTAAGTGGAAGCGCTGGGCCAGGTGTGTGTTTTTTTGGGATCGAGGTCGGGCCCAAACACGGGTTGTACACAGAATGACACATTGTCTCAGCTTTGGCCACGTGGGTTTCCCCACAAAACGACACCCTTTAACCGGAAAAGCAGGAGGTGGTTTGGCTATGGACCAAGGTGTTTCCTGGGCTTGGTTTGATCGAAGTCGAATGAATTTCGTGGTCGGATGGGCTTCAGGCGTTTCACACCCACACTTGGCGTGCAAGACTGGAATTTTAGTGATATATTTAACAAGAGCCATGATCAAACCCACGGGACTGTCCCCACTCCAAGTCTCCATACCTCCAGAACTTGAGCTCTGCCCTCGAAGTGGAACCCTTCAACATGCTTGGTCTCCTTTTGATCTCCCCTTAACCCAACCCCCAAAAAAACAAACCGGGCCTCACAAACCGCACCTCGCGAAAGCTCCAAACGCCATTCCCATGTTGGCAAGATACTGCATTTGGCCCGTTTGGAGGGTAATTGACTGTGAGTTCATGCTGTGGATGTACCACAACTAAGAAATTCTGAAAATACCCACGAACGCTGTGGTTTCAACCATGGTTTCTCAAATTGGTGGGACATGGATTTTGTCCATTCACAGTATTATACGTGGCTTGTGTGGGGAATGTGACAAGGGGCGGAGGGCATCTTTGGCACCTTCGGCTGCATCACTGGAGCTGGGTCTGTAAAAAAATCGGGGAGAAGACCTTAGCATAGTCTGGCATATTGAGTGGAAAGAAACACCGATCATTTCAAATGCAAACCTATTCACGGAGGTCCAACATTGGGCTGCGAGCTGCATCCCAAAGTGAACAGCAAACATCAGCAAACCTTCTTTTACAGTTCCTAAGAGAAGGTGGTCCAAGGGGATTTGCTAAGACTCCCTAGCCTAGGAAAAACCTGAGGAAACCAAAACTCCCCACCCCCCCCCCAATTCAGAAAAACAACAATCTGAGAACCCCCAAAACGGCTCTCAACTACCCACCTTCCTTGTACCCCCTCTAAAAATAACCAAAAACCTTGCCAGACCGTTTTAGTCCCCCCCCTGCGTCAGTCCGGTTTCCTTCGGTTCTGGGTGTCCGGGCCCAGCCACCAGGATCCCGCCGCCGTACTCGGCTTGGCAGTTCCGGAAGCTGAGGCGGCTGAAGCGGACGCGCAAGCTGCGCTGCACGTAGAGCCCGCCTGCCGAAACCCAACCCCCCCCCCACTGGGCCAGTTTGGCCACTTTGGCTTGCGATTTCGGAGCCCTCACCTGAGGTTGGAGGTTCTGGGCACTGGAAATTTGCAGACTCTGCCGCATATATTTGGCACCCCAGATTCATTGGAAGCCCAAAGAAGAGTGGGTAGCCTACCAAAACCCAAACAACCGATAAGCTTGCCTTGGCTTACTGGGGAATGTGGGAATGAACCCAGGCTCTGGTCCGGGTCCCCGAAGAAAAGGGAAACCACCAGCTGGATGGGAACAGGGTCATTCCATTTCTCATTCCCTGAGCATCAGCAAATTGGGTTCTCACCTTCAATTCCTCCTTTAACCATCAGCCCAGAGTAAACTTCTTCAAGGGGCCCTGAAAGATGACCTACAGGGGGAGGTTGGGTTTCACACAGGATTGAAAAATGCTCCGCTGCCAAACTCAAATAACGTGCTTGGGTCTGCGGCCACACTTATACGTTCTAAACTGCTTCAAGGCTCCATTAAGGAATTTACCAAACCATCAAAAGCTCAAAAGACACCATCTGGGACGCATCGGTCGTTTAGGGACGGGTGGATTTCCCGAAAGTGGCCAAAAGGTCGCTCTGACAACAACTGGATTCGGAGGGTTGGTGTAGGGTGGTTCAGGTGGGTTGAGGGTTTGGGGTGTGTTTGGAGTGGGTTTGGGTGGGTTAGCGGTGGGCTTGGTGCGTTTAGGATGTGTTTGGGTTTGGGACGAATTTGAGGGTGTTCTCAACAGCGCATTCCCTGCTACCTACCCCTCTCAGCGGTTCCAAATAATCTGGGATGGGCTAAACAATGATGGTTGTTGATTTGGGTGTGAGTTTTAATGAGGGGCCCTCTGCTAAAAACATAGGTTTTTTTTTGTGAGGATTTATGTCCGCCAGCCGTTTGTTTGGGAAGGGATTCCAACCATCCAGAATCGTAGCCATTTGGGTTGGGCAGGTGCCCTCCCCCAGAGAACGGACCCGTTTGGAAGACTTGGCTCCATTTACAGACTGCAAATGGCCAATTGGGGGAGCTTCCGGCTGTTGGTGTAAAGGAATTTGCATAGGAGGGTCTAGCGGGCGGTGATTTGGGTCGGCGCGCCTCCATCTTCGGTTTGCATGCTGCCGCAGTCGGCGAATTTGGCCTTGGCCTGCATGAAGCTGGCGTGGCCCTGGCGCTGGCCGGTGTTCCGCTCCCCAAGGCACAGGAACTTTTCTAGGTCCTCCAGTAGAGAGGTTAGAATAAGGGTTCCAACTTGTTGCTGTAGTCTATTTTAGTAGGGGAACCCTCCCAACCAAAAAAGAAACGGTCAAAGTTGGCACCTAGCTGGGGGACCTAGTTTTGGACCATTTGTCTGCAACCCGATCTTTGAGCCAACACGTTGCTGAAATAAGAATTTGCCAGTCAACCCTCAATGGGAGATCCACCATAAGCTTGGGGCAATATCCGATTCAGGATAGTTTGAGGACGAAACTCATGCACCGATTCGCTGATGACAGTGGTGAATGAACCGAATCAAAAATCAAAAAGGGGGCGAGGGAAGGGCACCAACACTACTTGCCAACGTGTGTTCTTCAGGCGCTACCTTCTTTTGCTTTTGCGTTTGTCGTGTTCCTTGTGTTGTTTTTTTCCCCTTTTTTTTTTACGGCAGACATCAAAAGGACACCGCCATGGGTCCTTTTGCCCTTGGCTCGTACGGAAGTTGTCCAACTAAACTTCCTTTGATCACTCGAAGCCAAGGGCACTAATTAGGAGCACTCTTACCCCCCCACCCCACCCCACCCACCCCTCGAACAAAGACGCGCGGCACAGGTTGTTGTACAGCGGCGCCGCGCAAGTTAGTTCGTGCAGGAGTGAGACACATCAAAAACAGAAGAATTCTTCCGCGTCCCTAGCGTCGCCGTGAGCGAAAGGAACCATAGATTGGGGGTCCCTTTTGGTTGATCGAAGGGAACGAGGAGGAAAAATACCAAATAGAGATTTTGGCGGCCCCTTTGGTTGATTCAGGAGAAAAAAAACACTGATTTTTTTTGGGAGGGGGTTCTGCTGGTTGATTGAAGGGAAGCCTTGAACGGAAACCATAGATCTTGGAGGTCCCTGCCTCCACATCTACACAGCGTGCCTGTGGCCCCACGTGCCCCACCTCGGAGCTAATCATGGCTTGGGCAAGGCAAACAAAAACTGCGACCTTGTTGACTGCCTTGACGAAAATGAGCAAAACACCCTGGAAATTGTAAATTGAACAAAGTTTACTCCCTCAAGCTTGGTGAAAATGAGGAACAACAACTAAAACAAGTGTCAACTGAACAAATGTTGCTGCCTCCAAAATTGGCGGTTTAGATCCGGTTGGCTTATGGATGTTGATAAAGTTTGTCCGACTAGCATCCTGCACAACACTGCTTGAAAGTTGAAAAAGCACCTGCTCGGGACACGGCCCTTCAATGGGGGTTACTCACCACAAAAATGTGCCACCCTTCCAAAAGAACAAACGCCGCCCAATCCGGCCCAATCTATGTCACGCCTGCCATATAATTCGCATTTTGCCACTGACTTGTGGTTGCAGCTTCTGCCTACAAACGCCCTACCTCTGACAAGTGCAAGTGTCTCCGTAAATTCATCGCGGCTGCGGAACAGTGCAAGAAAGTAGGGCGACCATAACATATTATTATGCGACTTTCAGGAACGCAGCGGCAATTTCTTGGCAGCTCTAATGCCATAAGAAAGCTTCTGCGTGGGAGAGATTTAGAATTGTCACATCCCAGAAATCCAAAACAATTCGAGGAAAGCCAAAAAACAATTCCCCCAAACAAAAGGTATTGGGCGTGTTCAATACCTTTCCCTCATGGCTGTTCGCTTCGTCTTTTTGAATCCTGGCAGAAGTACAAGCTTCGCAAGGGACGGTTCAGGTAAGATCGCAAACACCTAGAAGGATCAGCTTGCGCAAGCAGAAGCCACATGATCGTGATTCGCCAGAAGCACACAGAGTGAACAATGCCGACACTGCATGTTTTATATTCTCAAAAAACGCAGGGCTGCGGACATTGGTTCCTGTTCCTTTCAAGACCTGTCAACAATGGGAGGATACATGGTTTGAAAGACTCGAAAGGGTGATCCAAAACGAATCAATCCTTTTTTGAGCTGGTGTTTCGCAGGAACAACCGTGCTTTAAGGTCTCGAATTGCAGTTGGAACGGTCACATGTTGATGCATCCTTGAAGTAGGGATCGGAGAATTAAAACCGTGCTTTCAGCTTCCTGCTAGTTTCCCCGAAGGCTCTGAAGCAAGAAGCTGAAGAGCCGATTATTTCCCAATTGCACATGGACAAGATTTACCACCATATTCAGAAAGGACTCGAGTGGTTCTGCGTACTCACGCTCCAGAGACGTGCCTCCAATCAACCACAAGGAAACCCAAAGAGGCTCCTCTGAATTGCGCCTGTGCTTTTCTGAGTCGACTCTTTCATGTGTTCAGGAGAGAAAAAGAACGCGGCACCAAAACCAACTTCTTTGGAAGGGCTCGTTTCGTGAGGCGACCACTTCCAGTATATGTCCCTTCAGCCACAAGGAGCCGTGGTACCACGGGTCCAACTCACTGACCATGGCTTCATCTGGGTGAAACTTTTCCATATTTCACCTTTACCTGAAATGAGGCGCTTGGGGTGGCTCTCCCAACCACATAAAAGCCACCACTTGGGGTGAATTCGGTGAAACACCCAGAAATCAGGTAAGAGGTCCCAGGATGTCCCAGGTACGACACCGCCATTTGGGGTGACTTCGGCCGTGGCGTCCGACGGAATTTCGGCTCCGAGGTCGGAAAAAGTCTTGGGGCCAACACCCCGAGGAACTCGAAGACGCCGGTGAAGGTCACGTTGCCCAGGAAGTGGAGCGGCTTCTCCAACCTGGAGTTGAGAGTTGGGGGTTGGGAGGTTGGGAGTGGGGGGAGTTGGGGGTTGGGGGGGGTTGGGGGTTGGGGGGGGTTGGGGGGGTTGGGGGGTTGGGTCTTGAAGATTTGGGAGGCTTTTGGGAAGCTGTTAAAAGGGTTTTTTGCTCCTACAAAGTGTCGAACATGGCCATGGATCACTCTATGTTTCAATGTCGGTCCCTCACAAGAAGGGCAGAACAAAAGGAAACCACGTCAACGCTTAGACAGAAACTAGTTCCCCAATCGGGCGCTTAAGTGTTTTGGGGTTCTGGTTGGCTCCTTGTCTCTCTCCTCGGACAAAGACCCTCAGTTGCTTGGCTCTTGGCAAGCAAGAAGGAAAACAAGGCTTGGTTGACGTTGAAAGGGGAGCAACAAAAATAAATTTTAGCAGTTCAGTGGATTTCAACCACTAAACCACAAGAAGCAAAAATGTAAAAAAACATGTTTCCCAACAACAAACATGAAGGGGGCAGTTGCTCCCGCCACTTGATCCGACGTGGCACGCAAGGCTTTCGAGGTCCCCGAGAAGCAGGGCCAAGTGCTGATGGGGGCCCAGACGACCCGTCGAGGCAGCTGCCCCGAACTCTTGGCGCGGAATTTCTGTGGTTATTTGTATGTAGTTGTTGCATGTGTTGTTTATTTGGTTTATACTTAATTTATATAAATATATATATATTATACAGTATGCACATATATATATATATATATATGTATTTGCTTATTGTTTATTGGGATTTCTATTTTTAATTATTCTAGACATATTATGGGAGGGGCACAGAGAAGAGCACAGAGAAGAGCACACAGCTGGCCAAGACCTCCCAAGCGACGAGCCAGCTCCAAGACTTTCTCTCCCTGGCCGCCTCAAGACTGCCTGGGTCTTAGCAGTCTGCGGCACTGCTGGTCCTCTCCCTCACGCCCTTTCTCGTGTCTTACTTCTCCTTCGCATCAAGTGCAGGATCTGGTGGGAATTCGGAAAGGACAGGTGGAAAGCAGACAGGGCGAACAGAAGAGGGAGAGAAAGCCAAGGAGAGGAAAAACAAGAAACGCCAAGAAGCGGCCCCGGTAGGCCACGCGAGTCCCGCGCGCCGCGTGCCAGGCCCCGAGCTGAGGCTCCGCGGAGTTCAGCCACGGAAGCGGCCCGAGGGAAGCGGAGCTACGCCGAAATTCTGAGCGCACCTGGCCTCCAGCGCATCCAATTGAATCCCTCCAGGAGGGGGGGGGGGGATGGGGTTTTGGGGTTTTGGGGTGTGTGCAAACGAAAGACTCAAGCCGAAACTGCGGGAAAAAGAAAGAAAACAAAACCTAAACTTGCACTTGTTGTTAAGCACCGGGATGCGGAACCTCGACGAAAACTGGCACGAAGAGGTGTCAAATGTTTAAACACAAAGATTCATATGTCGCATAATGCTCAATGAATGGAGAAAAATCTAGTACCCCTTCTAGGATCTGCTCCCTTGGCCAATTCACCGGTGTTTACGGTGAATTCTAATATGTGGTTGCCAAAATCAGGCTTACACATTGGCTCCTGATATTTACATTCAGCAAGCACTCGCATTCACAAATCCCAAGACTCCAGTACCGGAAACAAACTCACAACTACCAGACTAGTTTCAGTTGTAGCCGTTACGAACACTTGAATGTCTTTGCTGCCTAGAGCCACAATTGAGCTCAATTCACAAAAGGAATGACAATGTTCTAAACCTCTAGAGCTTCACAAGGGAAACATGTAGCCAAACGGGTTAGGAGTACTTTGGCAATCGCAAAGAACATACAGTGAGCGATATGACAATACCACTACAACAACTGCAAGATTAACCATTCGCTACCAAATACAGATACTGCATGCCAACTGCTGCACGTCAATGGAATCATAGACAAAGCCAGTCCAAACAAAATACATAGAATTACATGCAAAGACAACTAAAACTACGCAACAAGTGTACTCCCACAGTCCCCACCCTGTTCTGTTTGTTGTTGTTTTTTGGGGAGGGGAGGGGTCCAAGTCTGCCAGTTTCTTTGCCCCAACCAAGCGTCCAATGTCAGAGGCGGATATCGCAACGCGTACTCGCATTCCGTCAGAATCAACTTACAAATGCCCACGTGGGGTTGATCAATATTAATATCCCCTGAAAACTCCATGGATAATTTGTTTTCGTGTGGGGAATGTCGTTGCATCCAAGGGAGATAAAGAGAAAAAGAGAAGGAGAAAGAGCAAGAGACAGAGAAAAAGAAAGAGACAGAGAGAGGGAGAGAGAAAGAAAAAGAAAGGTAGAGAGAGCGGGCAAAGCGATTGTACAGCGGTGCGCGCGCAGCTCAGTGTTGAATGCGTGGGCTTGATTGCGCAGTTTCACGTTCGCCGCATAGCATTGCACATTGATCATGAGGCAATGTTGCAACGCGATTGCTGCATGCTAGAAATGGGTTGCTTAGATGTTTGTTTGGCGCCTGCAAGTGTAGGTTTATTTTTTTTAGTTGTTGAGTAGAGTAGTGCCTGGATACGTGCACAAGCAACATCACACCTGTGTATATCACAACATTATTGCATCACCTTTGTCACACACGCTTTCGGGATAACCGGGGTCTAGTGTTTCTTTTTTGTTTTACGTACCCCGAAGATAAACCACCACCAATGGCCTAAGCGAAGTGACCATGAACTCACCGGCCCAGTTAACCTTCATCCAGGTGTGAAGTCATCTTGTGCGCCAAGGCACAAGAGCAGGGCCTTGTCCCCATGAACTTCGCAATTCTCCTCGATCAGGATCTCGGAAGTCACCTGTTTTTGTGGCAGGGGGGACCGTTTCAACGAGGAATGTCAAGCCCGACATCAAGCAGTTGGGCGCTCCGGGCCCGAGAATGCCCCAGAATCCAAGGCTCCAACTTCAAGCAACACATTTCGGAAGCAAAGAGAACATCCTTGAAGCTTGGTTGACGTGGGAAGGGGGGCAAAATTTGATTTTTTGGCAGTTAAGCGGTTGGATTTCAACCACTAAACCGCAATAAGCAAAAAGGTTAAACGTTTCCCAACGACAACCATGGAAGGCTTTTGTCTCTTCTGGGCCTTCAGAGTGGGTTCTCCAAAAAGAAACTTTCGCAAGAGGCGGGGAGCCTGGAAGGTAACCGCCAAGGATTGACCATTCCTAAACTCAGAGTTGGACAGGTTTGGGATATTTTGGGATGGCCGGAAAAAAACTATACACTCCAGTCTGGCAGAAAACAGGAAATCAGCGTGTAAAAATCGGGATGTTTGGGGGATGCCACGTGTAAGGGGGATGACGTTTCTACTTGTCTAAAGAAAGCAGTTGCGCTTTTCGGAAAAAATCTGGAGATGGTTCCTATCGGCTGCGCGAAACGGGCAAGAAACTGAAGGTTTGGACAATGGGCAAGCTGGACATCTACAAAATGAGTTGCTGGCCCTTGGTGGAGTTTGAAGCCAAAAGGAACCACCAGCTGGAGTCTTCAGTCCCACTCCGATTCCGGAAATCCTGTGGTGCGGAAGGAACTCCAACAAAAAAACGCAGCTGTTCTATTTGCTTAAGTCCCCCAAACAAAAGAAAAAAAAACACATGAGAAAGTATGTTTCCGTAGAGATAGATTCCCTTTAACACCAACAGGGGAAACTTGAAAACATATTCTTACATCCAATTTGAGTGCTTTTTTAAGTAGGGGAACCACCAGAAAATAGGCGGACTTGTTGTGGTCTCCACGGCACGGCGTGAGCAGTACCGGTGGCACCGCCCCAACTGTGATGGCCTGACCAGGTCTTATACTGTCGGAGTAGCATCGCGCTACTCCATACCATTGCCTACCACCAGAAAATAAAACAAACTTTCATTTCAGCAAACTTCCATTTGCTTGTTCGCCCCCTGGAAAAATAAAAAAACATATATATATATAACCATTTCCAGTAGTGACAGTGACAAACTCTCTTTCAAACCAACAGATAAAATCGCATCTTTTCAGCAAATGGAAGTATTCGTTCGGAGATTAGGCCCAGAAAGGCTGAATGGGGTTCCTTAAGCCATCCAAATCATTTGCGACCGGAAGGGAATCTAGGTCCTCCACTAGCTCGGTTACAACAAGGGTACCAACTTTTCTGAAGTCTATTCTAGTAGGGGAACCCTCCCAACCAAAAAAGAAACGGTAAAAGTTGGCACCTAGCTGGGGGACCTAGACTCGTTTGGAGAATACACCATCCCTGCTTGGGTGTTCGTTGCCAAGTTGGCAAGTTGTTGGTAAGCTAAGTCCTGACTCCCCCTAAGTGGGGATACCCTTGTAAGGGGGGTTATAACCCAAGCGAACAATTTGCCAACGAATAGAAGCAAATGGAAGCAACCGGAGAAGCTTTGGGCTCTGCGCATTGAATCCTGGCGCCTTGTAGGTGCCACGGAGCTGAAGCGAGCCGCCAGCGCCTCAGCTGGCGAAGGAAATCCCCGGAAGAAGCGACAAGGGATTGGCACCGCCTGGTTTGGGTGTAGTTTTCAGGGAAAGGAACTCAGGGAAGCAGTGGTTTGGGTGTAGCTTTCTGGGGAAAGGAGTTTGGTTTGGGTGTAGTTTTCAAGGGAAACCGTGGTTTGGGTCCTTGTTTGGAGTTGGTTCCCCGGCGGTGTTCCTTTTTCATCGCGCCTGGTCACCAAATTTTGGGCGATACACCTCGGTTTGGGGTTTCTTCAGCCCTTGCCCCAGCAAAGCGCGTATGTTGGATTCCGATCCATATTTGAACATTACACTGGGCTGTGCTCAGATCCCCTGATACAGGCAAAAAACATCTAGTGTTAAAAATGGGTTAAATGGAAGCCCAACCAAACCAACTCAAAACAGCTAAACAGCTAAGGAACCGGACGATTTGCTGGCTCCGGCCACAGAGGGTCAGAAATGGGTACCCAAAATGGCTTGCCCTGGTAAATGGAACCAAGGACTAAAACCTGCGATCCATATCCTGGTGGTTAAATTTTGACCCATACCCAAATATAGTATAAGCTTCAGAGAGTTTCCAGGTTCAGCTCCGTATCCCCTGAAGAATTTCCCCCCCCCCCCAGTTTGATTCATGGGTTCTGCAGTCTCCTGAGTCATAATCAAAACCCGGTATTAAAATGGTTGACCCAGAACTATGTAGAGAATTAAGAAGGCGGCCGCAGCTATTTATGGCTGGGAGTGTCCCTTACAAACCTTCATCTACCCAGGTTTTGATTGTGGCTGTGGTGAACTTACTGAGCCCAACTCACCGAAATCGACGAATGGAAGGGGAATGCTGTGGGCTGCGTTAGGCGCGCGCGTTTAGGTTGTTGCCAAAGGTCTAGATGTTGGTTCCTCCCCAACAGCTGAAAGCTACGGGGTCGATAGGCCCAAATGGGTTCTGGGGCGGGTTTGGGTAGCTTTCAGGAAGGGTTCAAAGGGTCGAGATTTAAGTTGGGATTTTTTGTTCTATTTTGGGATTCTTTTGTTTTCCTACTAAAATGCTGTAATGTACAGCCTTTTCTCGCGAAATGTACGTATTTTACGCTAGTCCGTCAACATCACCAGCATCGTTTTCAACATCCCCCGCATGTCCAGCCAACATCCCCATCATCACCAGCAAATCGAGACCTTGGCTTCCTGCATCTTCAGCATCATCAGTTCCTCAAAGCCAACTGGGAAAGCAGAGGATGCGAAAAGCCGCCAAAAGCCACAAAGCCAAGAAGCCACCTGCCGCAGCGGAACTGGCAATGCAGAGGATGCGAAAAGACAAACAGAGAGGAACTGTGAATGCAGAGGGTGCGAAATGAAAAGCCACACAAAAGCCACAAAAACCCACACAAAAGCCAAAAAAACCCTGAAAAACAAAAAACACATCCAAAAAAGAAAACGAGAAAAAAATAAATCTAAAAAAAATGCTCCTCGGGGTTCAAAAGGAGGGCTCCAGGGATTTCTGGAGCTGTTGGAAATACCCCTGGGCCCGTTGTGGACGGACTTGACCTGGGAACAAAACTCCAAAGAACAGGCTCCATTCCGAAGCTGGAGATACCAGGCTAATTTTGACCTGGGAACACAAACACCAGGAGGGCAACTTTTGGCGCCAAGAATGAAGGAGACGCCACCCATCCCAACTGAGACGCCCCAGACTTTGGTCGCACTCGATCACTTGAACCTAAACCGCCAGGCTTCCCCGGGGTGAAATTGGGAAGACTCCTTCGAAGTCAGTGACTTAACCCCAATCAAATCATTGAACACCTGCAACATATGAAAGTGCTCAAAACCAAATGCCAGTGTTTGGCTGGTTTCTCGGAGAACAAAAGGGAAACTAACCCGCTGAAGGGTATATCCACTCCTCCACACTGTTGAGTCGATCTTCCGTTTGCCCCCAAACGAGCAAGAAACATGGTCTCCTGTTTCAAGTGGAACTGGAACAGCCAACAAACGTGTCAAAATTTAAGCTGCACCCGACATCAGTTTCATTTGCGGGTGGCTTGCTCAAAAGCTTTCCACGTACCCTCTTAAACGGCTTGCACCCCCCAATCAGCGTGGGGGTCTGCTTATTCAACTTGGTCAACACGGGAGGTGTTTGGTATATACATATACCAGACCCTTCGTTTCTAGATGTCCATGAAACAAATCCTCGGTTGATTTCTGCTCCCCTGCTAAAAGTTTAACTTTAGTGGTTTAATGGAAACCCATTAGTTGGCAAAAAGTTAAAGTCCTAACCTCCCTTGGCAAAATGCAACAAAGACTCTGCGTGTTTCTTGTGGTTCGAACCACCCGCCCTTTCCCCTGAGCTCCACACTTAGATGCCAACGCCGCTCTACGAAACCAAAACACGAGGCGACCTCCAAGGGTTCCCTCGAAGGAGAGTTGTAACCGAAGCCCGAAATTGATGCTCATTTGGCCGTGGTGGTCAAAACCGTTGTGGTTGATCCCATTTTGGTTGGTCTCGGTGAATTCACCACCTCTTTTAGAACCTATTTTAGTGGTTGGATTGAATCGGATGTTCACCGGGGGGACGGGGATTTGACCCATAGCCATTTGAGTCAAACCGGCTGAAACAAACAACTTGTAGGGGCCTCTCAGAGTAAATCCTAGATAAGCCAATCAGGGGTTCATCAGCCCGAGATAAGGCGTGGCTGCCACATGCTCTGCTTTGCAGTCGGCAAGGCCGAGGGGTCTGTGGGGGAATCTCTGACTGCTTTCCCCCCCCCAGCCGAAAAGCAATATTCCATGTTCCAAGACCATCCATGCCGGTCTTCTCGATGTTTCATGGGAAACAAAAGGCCGAACAACAAGTCGATTCTTTTTGCGGTTTCGACCTATTCGTGGAAATTCCAATCTCCAGAAAATCACCTCAAACTGTCAATTGCTTCCGAAGCAATACATCCCCCTTGTTGTCTTTAACCGGTTGTATCTGGCAAACCCAAAAATCTTGACACCGCAGGTCAGCCACCTCCCATCGGCCGAGCGGCAGCTGGGGATGTGTCCGCCTTCGTTCGCCTCGTTCCCGAGGCCGCTGATGCGCGCGCCGCCCGCGGCATGGCATGCCACGGCGGCGAGGAAACGGAGCATGGCATGGCAAACAACGGCATGGCCCTGGCTGAGCCGGCTGTGTCGGACATAAAACCAGATCCTGGTGGAGGTGGCATTTGTGTGCGGACGGACCGGTGGGCAACTTGCAGGTAACGAAATGGTTGACAAGGGATTCGACTTGAAGCGTCAAAACGACACCATCCACTCTGGAACCCGACCTATCCGAATCCACCTCTAAAACCCCACCTATCCAAATCCACATGGAACCCGCCAGACCCCCCCCCCCCCCCTTGCTGGAAAACGGTCTTGGCCGATGGGTACCCAACCTCCCCGCTGCGCTCGGCCGATCTCTTTTCGGGAGGTCGCGGCAGTGCCCGAGCGAGGACCTCAGGCGACATTTTCGACGTGAAGCGAAAAACGCAAGCCCTACCTCCATTTGCTTTTTCGTCCCCTGCTAAAAAAAAACAAATATGTCCAGTAGTGATAGATTTCCTATGTCTTTAACACACACACACACCAAAGGGCAACCCGTCTGTAAGGGTACTCTTCCCTTTGCTTAAGACCCCTACACAAAATGAAAATATGACCAGCAGTGAAATCGATTCCCTTTAAAACCAAAAGGAAAATAAAAACATATTCTTAACCAAATGGAAGCCTACTGGCTGGAAGGGAGACCACCAGTTGAAATGAACATCATATGGGGCATACGTGCCTCTCGATGTTTCCCCAATTCGTGTTGCTTGGTCTAAAGGGAAACCAATCTGGGGGTCCCCTATGTCTTTAACACACGCCCCTTTGGGCAACCCGTATGTGAGGAAACTGGTGACTTGGAGCCGGCATAGAGTTGAAGCTATAGTCGGTCTGGGTAAATCCTTTTTTAGGTCGGACCCCCAAAATGGCTTCGGTTTTCTTGTGGGTGTCCGTTTCAAACCAACCAGAAGGGGAAGGGGGTACCCACAAAGAAGACACACCGCTACATACCCTCAAGTTGAAGTTGGTTGGTGGCTTGGGCGTATGCGATTTTTGCCGGTGCAATAGCCAGGCAATCAGTTGGCACAGAAAGAATTATGTGCCCACCCCCCCCCCTCCCCCCGCCTGCACAAGCGGTTCTCCCTTGAAATATGATATTCGGAAACCATGAGCGCGCAAGCTCAGGGAGAGTGTTGGAAACCAACCTACCAGTGCACAAGCCATATATGAGAAACCCGATTTTGTGGCCAGGATCCCAACCAACAAAACAGCGGAACTACAGCTGCGCGTTCTCGGAACACTGGGCTCCGCAGAAATGGGTGGGCTTCAGGGGCAAGGGAAATGAATGGCCGCTTCTGCGATACAACAAGGGCCTCCCAAAGACTAGCCCCCCTTTTTTTTAAAGACCTTTTTTCAAGGAGGAGATCCCTTGTATCACGGAAGCGGTTGGATGAACCCCTCCCACTCTGCTTGGTTTTGTTGCCTTCGGTAAAGCCCGAAAGTTGACCCGGACACAGAAACTCCCATTGGGAGCTTCGGGGATCAAACTCCCATTGAAAGCTCAAAAATCGAAGCGAAGCTCGATCCCTCTCTCACAGACAAGCCGAAGCCGGCTCAACCTGAGCTCCTTGAAACGACCGGGGGACTGTCTTAAACAACTGGGCGAAGACCAAAAAACAATGTGATGTTCCTTGTGGTTTTCAAGTTTGCTTTAAAACGAACCAAAAAGAGTGCCCCTTTAATAATGCCAAATGTTATTCAAAACCCTCAAAATAGGTATTCATGCCGGGCGTCCTTTCTCAACCCCCAAAAAGGTTGCCTTCAATCCACTCCATATTGTATGCCCGGTGTCCTTTTCTAACCCCCTTGCAAACAGGACACCGAGACTCAGTTCCTGAGCGGACTGGCCAAAAAAAGTCACTTGATGTTTGTCACTAAAACGGTGTACTGGGCTGTCCTCATATCCCCTGCTAAACGTGACTAACTTTTGTGGGCAAAAAACGGAAGCCCGCACACTAACCAACGAAAAACCTAAGCTGACTAAACTCCATGAACTCAGGAAGTGAGAAACCCAACCGGAAACCTTCAGAAATGCACCCAAAACCCGCCGGAGCCTTAGGAAACCCGCCAGAAACCCTTTTCAAACAATTCAAAAGTCCTCAGAAACCCTTAGGAAACCCTTCAAAAACCCTTAGGAAACCTTAAAAAAAACGCCAGAAACCTTTAAGAAACCCAGACGAAACCCTTCAGGAAACCCGCCAGAAACCCTTCAGACTCAAAAAAAAAAACGCAGAAACCCAGAGGAAACCCTTCAGGAAACCCTCACAAACCCGCCAGAAAACCCAGACGCCCTTAGGAAACCCTTAGCAAACTGTTAGAAAAAAAACAACACCCTTAAATACAAACCCTCAGAAACCCGCCAGAAACTAAGAAACCCTGAAGGAAACCCACTTTTCAATGGCTCGACGGTCTCTCTCTACCTCCCCCCTCCCCCCTCCCCGCCTGTGTCAAGCAGTTCTCCTGCACCAGGTGCTCCGGCTGCCACTGCAGCGCCTGGTCAAAGGCACGACTTCCGTCCGAACTTAGGCAGTCTGTTCGTGAACTGGGTCCTCCAGTACAGAGGTTAGAATAAGGGTACCAACTTTTTTCATGTTTGTCAATTTTAGTAGGGGAACCTAGTCAAGCCAGCTGTGCCTTTTTCCACAACCCACCTCCATTTGCTGAAATCTATGCGCTTCTTTTTGTCCCTTCTTGGTTTTGAAGGGAATCGATCACTGCTGGAATCATACGTTCATTTATTCCTTTTTCGCCCCCTGGAGAAAATGATAAAACTTGCCTAGTGCTAGGTGCCCCTTTAAAACCAACATGCCGACAAGGGTCAAACCAAGATCTTGACATTTCGCAAATGGAAGCTGATTCGGGTCCAACACTTCGCGGACCTAAAACTGCAAACTCTTCAAAAGAGATTTCAGCTGCAGGGCTTAGGGCTTCCATTCTGCAAGGGTCACACGCTTTCCATCGAACAGGCCTTCAGTTGGCCATCACTTTCTTTCCATTTCACACGGGTGAGTTTCAATTCGGGCTCCTTGGTAGATATGAAATTTAAGTGTGAACAGATGTGCACCCCCCCCGCAAGCGGGGGGGTTCCTGATCACAGGTCCGCTAGAAGCAAACTTCTCTAGCATGAGTTTATTGAAGATGGTCACGAGCCAGGTCTGTCGTTCTTTCGACCTCACATGGCAGTGTTTGTCGTGTCAACCTTCCCACAAAGCCTTCTTGTTGTCTGGCAATAACCTCCCGTCGTTCAAACATCCGCATTCCAGCAGCAAGGTCCCAAAACCAATGCCTGTCGCAACATGGCCATACAAATGAATGCATGGGTGTGGGTCAAAATCAAACCACCAGGGGACCGCAGGTTTTAGTCTTTGTTTCCATTTGCCAAGGTTCCTACCTATTTTTGACCCACAGCCACATAGGATTTGCTCGCGTACTCAGCCAACTAGAACGAACCCTCTGCCAAAATCGGTGTTGGGCGCTCGTTTGGGAGCCACCCGCCATGGCAACCGCCCAATGTTGCAACCAGCTCTCCCCCCCCGCGCTTTTGGTCGCACATCGTGCGCAATGCCTGCGTCTCTAGGCCCATGAAATCGTATGCTTCACTGCCCTCGTGGTACTGTAGTATGGTATGAGGGGATGGTGTTCAAGGGAAACAACCGGAAAGCCCCATTTTGAGGCCCCCCCTTGGAGTCAAGCCCATAGCCAGTGGAAAAGAAGGCAAAACAACACATGGCCATGGGTCAAAATCCAAACCCCGGTGAACATCCCAATCCACTAAGATAGGTCCTAAAATGGGTGGTGAAATCACCTACCTACCAAAATGAGATTTCATTGGTTTTGACCCACGGCCATGTTGGAAGAAAAGATTGAATCCTAGGTGAGGATGATAGACTAGGTAGGGTTGAACATTTGATCAAGATTGCCAGTGGACAAGAAAAAAACCAAGCAAAAACAACACATGTTCCGCGCCTGGGCTGCATCACCCACAAACTTGATCATCGGCGCCAGGTTCCTCTCCGCCCACGCGTCATCTCGACTCAGCACCCAGCGCCGCACCGCGTCCTCGTCCACAAGCGTGGGTTGAGCGACGTTCTGCGTCCCGGCCGATGGTTCGAATGAAACCGGTTTTAGGGGTTGCCCTTAAAGGAAACCATAGGATGGATGGATTGCATCGAGGTCTTTTCCATTTCTCATTGAATGGGTTTTGGGATTCCCTTAAAGGAAGCAATAGGATGGATGGATTGCTTCGAAGTCTTTTCCATTTCTCATTGAATGGGTTTTGGGGATTGCCTTAAAGGAAACCATAGGACCATAGGATGGATGGTCCTCTTCGGGTCATTCCACTTCTCATTCCCTCGTTAAGGGCCCCCCACCAGTGTTGTTTCGGTAAGAGTACTGAACCCACAATCTTGATCAAACGTTCAACCCTACCTACTCTATCATCCTCACCTAGGATTCGATCTCTTCTACCAACATTACTTTAGTCAAGTGCGAAGATACGAATCGTTTCCAAACGTTGACCCAGCAATGCTCACTTCCTGAGTGGATTAAAAAGGCCAAACTTTCCATTGTTGCCGAGAAAATGGAAAAGCGACTGAAGTTCTTAAACTCAGGAAGTGGCTTTGGGTCAAAACCCTGGTACCCCCGCTACCCCCAAGATTCCCTTTCAAAATGAACCAAACAAAACTCCCAAAAGCGTGTGGGTCAAAAATTGGTGCCCAAAATGGTGGTAAAATGGAAACATGGGCCACCTGCGGTCCAATTCCTGGTGGTTTCATTTTGACCCACACCCATCTGGGTTCTGACCCACACGATCTTGTAAATGGTGGTTTCCCATTTGTAATTGGGGCAAAAGCAACATGTTTCAAGTGGTTGCAAAATGGGTCGATCTTTTAAGGAGCCAAGGAAACACGATTTTGGTCGCCTTTTTCAGTGGCCGAATCTCCGCTCCTCGGGCCGGTCTGCATCCACGTCCGCCATCCAAGCCAGCGCGCCCGTGTCGGCCTTGAGCAAAAGCATCTGCTCCGACCAAATGCGCCTCGCGCAATGCGTGCCCTCAAGGGAAAGAAGAAGTCTAGGTCCTCCAGACTTGAGAGGATAGAAATAAGGGTACCAACTTTTTGCGCTTTTGTCCATTTTAGCAGGGGAACCCTCCCAAAAAAAAGGAAAAGGGCGCCAATGGGGGACCTAGAAGTGCAAAGTTCCCCAAATCCGTGATGCTGGGGATGCACGAAATCCCTTTTGCACCGAGAAGTGCAAAGTTGCCACCTCCCCCAAACCCGTGATGCCGAGGATGCACGACATCCATTTCGCACCGCTTTGAAACCACGGCTGAAACCATGGTTTTTGGGTGTGTACAGGGCAATAGCATTCCAGGGTTTCTTAGGTGGTGCGGGATTTCGTCCATCGCACAGTGCTAAAGTGGGATTCCCATCCCTATGAAGACCAGATTTAGTTTTGAGTACGGGCAGTTGCACCCGGCCCTGGGCAAATCTGAAAGTCTGTCTGTCTCAGTTCCTGCCCACAACCGAGAATCGCATATGCTCGAGCCTGTGACTGGTCCATATTCAACACGCCTTAACAGGTAACAGGCAACATCAATTCAAAAGAGATCCCGGAAAAGGGCCCTCTTGACCTTCCCTAAAGGGAAACAGGGTCAACATAAAGCCAAAAAAACACACTCGTATCCTCACCCGGAGCCCCCCTCACTGAGCGACACGTTTGGGCTGGTGGTTCGGCGCAGACGCTTGGGCTGGTGATCCTTGTCTTGTCTGTCCGCATCAGGCTGGCGGCCGGAATGTCTTGTCTGTCCAGTTCAGCCCTGAGAGGTCCTTTGAAAGCTTTCAGGAAGCTCGTCTTGCGTGTTACCAGTCTTGCGTGTTGCCCGTCTTGTGTGCTACTGCTCATCTGTTCGGTGTTACTGCCATTTTCTTCGGCTTTACCGGTTTCTTTTCGCGGTTACCACTGGCTTTGGCCTAGATTTGGCTATGGCTTGGTCGACGTTGGAAGGGGAGCAAAAAACTAATTCTTAGCAGTTCAGTGGGGAATTCCCACTAAACCACAATAAGCAAAAATGTTAAATGTTTCCCAACGCCAACCGTGATGACAGCGCTTCCAACCACGTGCGGAAGCGCTTGGCCCCGGCGCGAGTCGAGATCACATGGACGCATGACGACAGACGGACGAGTCCCCCGCCTCAGCTCGGCATCTTCATCGATGAGCTTCTTGAAGCACACGTGCCTTGGGGGTAGCCCCCCAAACGCATCGAACATGCTCCATGTGCTTTACTCACTTGCTGAGTGGATGGCCAAAAAAAAGTCCAAACTTTATATTTACCACTAGAATTGTCTTCCCAAAAAGTTCAAAGTTCATGAACTCAGGAAGTGAGTTTAACCAACATTTTCCTGGGCCGCCCAAACTGATCCCCCGCTAACTTTTAGTGGGGTAAATGGAAACTGCCACTAAACACTACACAGCTAAAAGGCTAAGTGGATGGCTGGGAGCCAAGTTTCCATGTACTTAACCCCTGGAAAAAGTGAGAACACATGTCCAGAGATAGATGCCAGCTCTAAAACCAACAACGGGAGAATAAAACGAATCTACGTCAGCAAATGGAAGAATGTGTTTAAGAGTGAGTTAACCTTCATCCCACAAACAAACAAATGTCCTCTTCAAGGGGCAAACACCTTTTAAGTGGGTGGGAGGGTAGTCAAAGGCAACAAGTTGGTGGGGAATAGCTGGACCCTCAAACTGCTCATCACAATCTGGCAAACAACCCATACTGTGAGGCAGTATTCCATGTTACAAGGTAAGGATAATTTCAAAATCCACTATGAGATTGAGCTGCGGTGGGTCCCGGTAGCTTACCCCAGCAAAGTGAGGTATGACACCACCATTTCCTTGCCCCTAGGTACCAATGTTTTGTTCCTGGATTTTGGCCTTGATAAATCAAGCTGCCGGGGAAACAAAAAGAGAGATTGCTTCTGCAAAAAACAAAGGATGCCCTCACACATGGGACGACCCCCTTATCAATCAGCCTGCCCCGACATTATGAATCCTCATCTTCGAGAGGGTAGTGTGAAAGTCCAGGTAGGAGTTTATAAATCCTGGGTTCTGATTGTTTCGGATATTTCTCCCGCGTTGACACAACGCCTCTTAACTTAGAGTAAAACCCCGCAAACATCAGCGGAACAACTTTTCGGTCAGTCGCCAAACTGACAGAAGGAATCAAAGAGACGAGGGGCATCAGAAGCCAGTCCCGATGCTCCGCAATGGTGATGTGGGACAGGTCCACATCTCGAAACAGCGGCCCCAGCGGATACTCGTGCCGCGTCCTGCCCCAAAAAAAATCGGCAACGCGCGAGCGAGAAGAACGCAGCTGGCACCTTGGGCTCACGTAAAGCTACCGGCGTTCTGGTAAAGATGCGCACCTGCTGGGTGCATCATCTTGCGGCCCCAAATTGATGGTTTCAAGCAGTCCGCGCTATGTTGGACCTATGACCCGACCAAAATGAAATGAAGCAGATGGCGTTTTGCACCAGAGCTGAAGCTGGGTATGCCTGACCCATAGCTGGCTTTCTTCGGGGCTTCGGACAATGGGTTGAGCAGACTCTGCAAATCAGCATGGCCAACTGCAGATGGAATTCAACCCTTTGTGATTTGCAATGTCGGATCCCTTCAAAACGCGACATAACAAACCCACAGCCACTTGTTAGCTTTGCCACAAACATCCCAGGCACGGCTCAGGCGATCCGTCAAGTCCTGGCATCGGCCCAGCCGGCCACGTAGAGATCCCGCCAGGCCAGCACCAGCGGGTGACCGGCGCGGGCGGCCAGGAACCAGTTCTCCACCTGGTAAGAAGAACCAAATTGGAAGTCCTCTCCACCTGGTAAGAAGGACACCAAGTCCAAAGGGAAACACAACTAACCAAAGGAAGTCCCAAGAAAAACACAACTTTTAAGCTAGGAGACAATCTGATGTTCCTTTTTAGGTCCCAGCTAAACAGCCAAACATCCAGAAGACCTAGCTTCACTGTCGTCCAAAGGAAGTCCAAGGGGAAACACAACTTTGAAGCTACCCAAAGGCGCCCAAACGATTGATTTGCAACCACCTGGTTTTGAGACCCCCAACCGCGTCCAGGGTGTCTAGTGGAGGGGTCGGGTCTTCCATTGAAAGCCCCAGGAGCCTCTGGGTAGGAGACAAACTGATGTTCCTGTGGGTCCCAGCTAAACCGCCAAACATCCCGACCACTTAGCTCCACTATCCAAGTCCAAAGAAAACCAAAGGAAAGCCCAAAGGAAAGCCCAAAGGAAAGCCCAAAGGAAAGTCCAAAGGTAAACCAAAGGAGAACGCTGGTATGTAAAATTCAGTGGCGAACCATGGGCTAAGCAAAAAACATCACAGGATTTACCCGTCCAAAGATTTCTGCTGAGTCCCGGAAAATGGGAGGCCAACCGCCCATGGAGAAAAACAAAAAAAGACGAGGCCGTCGCCGAGTCTTCGGCTTAAGAAACGAGAAACGGCCTGACGGTTGTTTTCTCCAGGCTTGGCCTATGTCAACACCACCCGACATCAGCTGTCCACGTCCATGCGCCGAAAAGCATCTGTACCTCATGCCGCCTCTTGCATCCAAAAAGCAAACACTTTGTCAGGAGCCTACTGGTTTCGGATTCAAACCACAAGGATGGATTCTAATCCCTGATGTTTGAGTTGCGGATGAAATCACTGGGCATGACAGCCCCTTTTTGGCCGAAGAAGGAAAATAGCCTGCAGTTAGTTGAGTGGGTTATGAGCCCAACGTTTTTCCTGTAGGCCCTCCTAAGGGCACGCCATGGCATCCTCGGCTGGGTCGGCGCAGACCGCTGACTCGCCGGAGACGGCGATGGTGCCGTGGCAGCCAAGCCGCGAGGACGCGGTGCCGCTGGGGCCGGCGGTGGATGTGAATCCTTTTTGGTCTGAGAAGGCCAAGGAGGAAGCGCAGCTCAAGGCGCTTCGCCCGAAGGATCTGCCGGAGGTGGAGGAGGAACAAGGGTCGCTGGTAAGCCCGGGAGCGCTGCCGGTGGGCTCGATCTACAGCGCGGAGATCCCGGCGGGTGGCCTTGATGAGCTCCTCGGTGCCTTCAAGCAGGTCATCACGCAGAACCAGGCGCTCTGGCAAGAGATGAAAAGCCTCAAGGAGCAGGTGCGTGAAGGCGGCGGAAGCAAGGCCATGAAGGAGTTGGGGGATGCGCCACGTGGTCCTGGGAAGGGGCCTGGGGTGGACGCGCCTCGTGCTGCCCCGGGAGGTGGTGATCTGTTGGGTCTTCCGGGAGGAGGTGGAGTTGGCGGACCTTTGGTGCTGCGAGCACGACAAGGAGGACCTGGAGATCAGAGCGGGTACCAAACCCCAACGGCGCTGGCGGGAGCCTATGGTGGTGCACCGCCTGGAGGAGGACCTCGGGAGCGTCGAGCAGATGATGGTCCTGGAGGGCTTCATCCTGAACAACCTCAAGGGGGAGAACCTGGTCGTGGAGGTGCGCATCGCGGAGGTGGGCAAGGACCAGGAGATCCTTCTGAAGGAGCGCTACTACCTGGCTATGGAAACGGGTGGGTCACTGGACGTCAGGATGCGGGTCTTCGAGGTGAGGGCCAGCCACCTGGGCACGAAGGAGGTGGGTTTGGTGCGGCTGGTCGTCATGCAGATCAGCATCTACCCGGCGGAGGGTTTCATGGAGGGTGGCCCTATGGCGCTGGTGGACCCGGAGGTCCCGGTGGAGGTGCGGCGGCCATGAATCCGTGGATGGGAGGATGGACGCCTGGAGAAACCGTTCGCACGGTGGAGTTGCCGGCATTGGGTGAGGTGAAGGAAGGCGAGCTCGGGTCATTGGTGGTGGGGGATTGGCTGATGTTGATCAGCCCGGTGATGAAGGACCTCACTGTCAGTTCCGGAGCATGGTGGGATCAGGTGCTTGCAGTGGCGGCAGAGGCCTACGCGCAGTGGTTGCAGGCGGATCCTTTGCAGCGGCTTCACATCAGGCCGCGGGCGGTGGAAGATGAAGGTGGTCGTTGGAGTCGGGTGGCTCAGCGGGCACAGGCCATGTTGGTGGCTGCTTTGCCACCAGGGTTGAAAGCGGAGGTGCTTGCGGAGCGAGCTGCAACGGCCTGGGAGATTCTGTTCCGGGTGTTTACTAGGTACCAGCCAGGAGGGCTGGCGGAGAGATCGCAACTCCTCAGAGGCTTGGTTGAGCCGCGGGTGCCAACGACGCTGAGTGAGGTGGTGGATGGGGTGAGGACTTGGAAAAGGTGGCTTGCCCGGACCCGTGAGCTGAAGGTGGCGATTCCGGATGCTACGTTGCTGGTTGGAGCCCTGGATCGGTTCGTCGGGATGGTCACGAAGCATTCTGGCCAGGCGATGTTCAGATTGAATGCGGCCCGAGCTGGACTGCGGGTGGACGTGGCTCCCAGTTTGGAGGCGGTGGCGCAGCTGGCGGACGTCGTCCTGGCGGAAGGAGAAGCAGCACTACACGGATCTTCGACCTCATCTACTACAACCGCAAAGGTCAAGGCGCTGGTGACCAAGGATGGAGGAGGCTGGGAAAAGGGTAAGGACAGCCCAAAAGGAGGAGGGAAAGGCAAGGGCAAGGATGCTTCGGTGGCTCCTGTGTGCCGGTTCTTCCTCACGGATGGGGGCTGCAAGAAGGGAGCGGATTGCACCTACAAGCATGAGTTCGACGGGGACAAGCGTGGACGCTGTTGGAATTGCGGAGGGACTTCGCATACCCGCAAGGACTGCCCGGTGAAGGTGCGAAAGCCTCGCGATGGAGATGGCGGAGCCAAGAACTTCAGCGAGAACGATGTGAAGGGCCAGGCCGTGAAGAAGGTCGAGGTGGATGCATCGGCGCCTACTACCGGTGGAGGAGAAGGATCGCCCGCGTCAGGGGCAGGGAAGACATCACAGTCAGATGGAAGTGATGGTGAAGCAGTGCGGGGACTCATTCAGGAAGCAGCGGGATTGCTGAAGAGCTTGAGGGGCCCTGAGTTGAGGAGGATTCAAGTGAGCTCCCTGGAGGTTAAGAACAAGAGGGCGCTGCTGGATGGAGGAGCGACGCACAGCCTAAGGCAGTGTGTATCTGCACAAGAGTGGGAGGAGGCTCGGGAGGTCGAGGTGCATTTGGCGCAGGGGACGGTCTCTTTGCGGCTCATCCCGTGGACGAGGACGTTGTTGACCACAGAGGAGGTCCAGCCCATCGTTCCCCTGGGGTACCTGGTGCAGAGGGGCTACTCGGTGAAGTGGGAAGAGGACCGCTTTCAGCTGACCGATCAGCATGGGCGGACTCTAGACACCGCTTTGGAAGGAGGCTGCCCCACGGTAGATGAAAGCCTCGGGTTGGAGCTCATCAAGGAGTTGGAGCTGGAGGCGCTGAAGCACCAGATGCGGTTGATGGCGTTGAGAGGGAAGCCGTTGACGACGCAGGAGGAGGAGAAGGTTGGCCTGGAGATGGTCAAATGGCTTCGGAGGCTGAGGGAGCTATTTCCTGAAGTGCCAGAACGCATTCTGGAGCGGCTGCCCCCGAGGTCGGAGTGGACGAGTTTGCCGTGGAATAGGCGGACCAGGAGGAGGATTCAGAAGGCCAAGGAGGTCATCCTCCACCTTTATTCGGGCCCGGACGCGAAGTTCTGGGAGAAGGAGTTGGAGACAGCAGACAGAGTGGTGCTTTGCATTGATCTGGAGCTGGGAGAAGGCCAGGAAGTTGGAAAGGACGGCGTGATGGCCTATCTGATGGAGCTGTGTGCTTCGGGAAAGGTGAAGCAGATCTTGGCGGGCCCTCCGTGTCGGACTATCTCAAGGATGAGGTTTGTGCAGCCGGGACCGCCACCGTCAAGGACGAGAGATGGAGAAGAGCGCTTTGGGCGTCATGGACTTCCTCAGGTGCTGATGGACAAGGTGGATGGAGATACGGTGCTCTGGTTGAGGCCGATGCTGCTGTACATGGTGGCGGAGGAGGCCAGTTCGTCCAAGGTTGGCTTCCTGGCGGAGAATCCACAGGATCCGGAGTCCTATGTGGAAGGAGGTCAAAGAGCCGCAGAAGCTCGGGAGCGGTATCCTTCGTACTGGGCTTTTGATGAGTGGAAAAGGTTCAAGAAGGCCTACAAGATGAAGGAGTACCACTTCGATCAGGGGCCCTTTGGCCACGCAAAGACGAAGCCTACGACGATAGGCACCAACATGGAGATGCTCGAGCAGCTGGATGGTGTTCGAGGAGGAGGATCGGATAAAGGTCCGCTGGGAAAGACCTTGGAGGAGCGGATGGCGGCTTCGAAGAAATGGGCTGCCTGGGCGCCGGGGATGAAGAAGGCGATTGCCATGGCTGTTCGCATAGGCTTGGAGCAGGTGAAGCTGAAGGGGCTGAGTGCCGAGCAATGGAAGGCGCACTTGGCGAATGACCACCTCCCGTTTCATCGGGGATGCCGCACGTGCCTGGAAGGAGCAGGAAAGGCGCGATACCACCGAAGGGTAGTGAGCCCTGAGAGCTACACGCTGGCGATTGACCTGGCGGGGCCCTTCAAACCTGGACGAGATCAAGAAGGTGTGGGACGATATATCGTCGTTGGCACCTACACGGTTCCGGTGACCCGGCAGGGACGAATGCTCATGCACTTGGCCCCGGAGCACCTGGCGTGGCTGGAAGGTCCTGGTCGAGGAGACGTACCGGAGGCGGTGAAGGAGATGAAGAGGTGGAGGAAACGGGACTACGACGTCAAGAAGTTGAGGGGCACGGGAGCAGGCGGACCGGCATGGAAGTTCGTAAAGTGGAGGCTCTCGGTGGACCTGGACACTCATGAGATCTTGGAGTCCAAGAGCATGATCGGAGAAGATCAGAAGGCGATGCAGACGGAGATCGACAAGCAGCGAAACCTCTTCACGGTGCTCTACTACCAGGAGGAGGAAGGGGACTTGGAGGGACCGCGGGGGGAGGATGACATGGAGCTTGACCCTGCGGGAGATGATGAAGCCGTTGAGGAGGAAGAGGAGCCATCTCCAGATGACGGGGAAGAGTGGCTGAAGAAGATAGAGAAAGAAGAGGACTTTGAGGTCCGGCAGCTCACGCTGGTGGAGATCGTGAAGACGAGAGGAGAAGCTCTGGAGGCTGTGGCCAAGATGACCACAAAGCTACGCTATCATGGACTACCTGTCCGGCGCCTTCACAGTGATAGAGCAGGCGAGTTCACGTCCAAGAGGGCCAAGAAATGGGCTATGGAACGCCTCATTATGCGGACGTTCACTGACGGCAGCTCATGGAAGATGAATGGGCGGGCCGAGGCGGAGGTGGGGTTCATCAAGAGGCTGACCAAGACGCTGCTCAAGGGCTCGGGCGTGGAGGAGAATCTATGGCCGTTGGCGGCACGGCATGCTGGGGAACGAAGATGGAGGTCGCAGCTGGAGGCCATGAACTATCCGGTCAAGCCATTGAGTTCTTTCGGGAGCGTGGCGATGGCGAAGACCAAGGCATGGAATCACCGGTCCAAGGATTGGGAAGCCACCAGGGAGGAGGTGACCATCTTGGGGCCGGATGTCACTATGTCGGCGTCTTCGGGAGGGTACTTCGTCCAGGGGGAGGATGGGAACTTCTTCCACACCACGGATGTGATTGAGACGGAGGAACCACCTGAAGAGGAAGGGCCACTTGCAGGTGGTGCTGGAGCAGAAGATGGATGGCCAGGAGGAGGTGGTCCACGGAGGAGGATTACATCCAAGAGGCCGCCTGCGTTGGAAGATCGAGAATGGGAGCCAGACCTGAGGACCTTGGTGATGGAATGTCAGGCCCGGGGGAGGCACATGATGGAGGAGGAATGGCGTCTAGAAGAGGAACAAGGCGCTGACCACGACATGGTGAAGAAGACCGTCGGGATGCTGGCGGAGGAGGACGCTCGAGTGGGGGCATGGTTGGCGGCAATGCAGAAGGCTGAGGATCTTGACTCTGAGGAGACCTGTGCGAGAAAGGCAACAGAAGAGGAGGTCTTTCTTCAGACCAAGACCTACGCCTTGGCAGATGTGAGGAAAGAAGTGGAGAAGTGGAGGCCTTCTATGGTAGAAGAGAGGGCGGCTTTGCTGAACTCGGGCGTGATCCGGGCCATCAATCAGCGGGAAGCCGAGGCGCTCAAGAAGGAGGCGCTGGAGAAGGGCATACCGTATGACCGGGTTCCGGGGAAAGCGGTGTTCACGAGGAAAGCTGCTACAGGACGACGGAAATGCCGTGGGGTCGCCTGTGGAAACTTCATGTCGGAGAGGCCCGCGGCGGACACCTACGCTGGAGGCATTGACGCGTCTCAAGTGAGGGCGATGGTGGCGGCTGGAGCGCAGCGGGGATGGACTCTTGCGGGGGTCGATGTGAAAACGGCGTTCTTGCAAGTGCCGCCGGGCAGGTCCAAGGACATTGTAGTGGTCAACCCTCCCACCATCTTTCAGGAGTGCCAGATCACGGAGCCGGGAGAGCTTTGGGCGGTGGAGGGATCCGTTTACGGCCTTACTACGTCACCCAAGGACTGGGCGAACCACCGGGACGAAACCATGGGCGCGATCAACTGGGAGATGGAAGATGACGAGGGCACATGGGCTTGCTGGTTCGAGAAAACCAAGGAGGTGAATCTGTGGAGGATCAAGAGCAGTCGGCACGGACAAGATGAGACGGTGGGCTACATGGCGGTCTACATCGACGACCTGTTGATCACTGGAGATCGCGGGGCGGTGGCGGCGACGCTGCTCAAGATCCGGCAGGTTTGGGACACCAGCGACCCGGAGTGGCTGTCGGAGACAGAGGACCTGCGGTTTTGCGGGTTCGAATTCTCTCATGATGAGCAAGGGATCCGGATGCATCAGGAGTCCTACACGGCGGACCTACTGGACCGGCATCACATCGCCAAGGGCGGCACGCTGGGAGGAGTGGGGATTCCGGAGGAGGAAGAGCCCCCGGGTCCTGAAGATGTGCGGCAGGCGCAAGTCATCACTGGAGAGCTGTTGTGGCTTTCTTCGAGGACGAGGCCGGACATCACCTACGCGGTAGCCGTGATGGGACAGTGGACTACGAAGAGACCTCGGGGGGTCGCGAGGATTGGAGAGAAGGTGCTGCAGTACCTGTGGAGGACGTCACGGGAAGGTTTGCGGTACCAACGTCTTGGTGCTGGAGATTATGGGCCGGACCATCAACAGCATCGTGAACGTCGACGAGATGCAGTGGAGGCCTACGCGGATGCTTCTTTTGGAGCCCATGAGCACAAGTCGATCTCGGGATTGGCCGTGTACTACTCCGGCTGCCCCGTCTTCTGGGCTACGACGCGACAGGCGTGTATTGCGCTTAGTACGGCGGAAAGCGAGCTGGCGGCGCTCATTGAAGCCTGGACGGCTTTGAGGGGAGTTGGTGGCTTGGTGGAGGAACTGGAGGAGAAGCCCGCGGAGCTTAGGCTCTACAGCGACAGTAGTGCGGCCCTGGCCATTGTCAACGGGAGCTCGGGAAGCTGGAGGACGAGACATTTGAGGATCCGGGCTGCGGCGCTTTCGGAGGCGGTCAAGCTCGGTGATGTCCAGCTTCAACATGTTCCTGGGCAGAGTCTGGTCGCGGACGGCTTCACGAAACAGCTTGGGGCCTCGCCGTTTGGGCGCTTCAAGGAGTCATTGGGCTTCTATGGTGGGACGGTGGAGAGCGGTGAGAGCCCGGTGGAGGTTGTCAAGGTGAAGAAGATAGAAAGCAGTCGAGACAGGAGGTTGGAGAAAGTCCTGGGATTGCTGGTGGTGGCCTCTACATGCGTGGAGCTGACAGAGGCGAAGGAGATGGACCTTGGAGAAGAAGGAGGTGGCTACTGGTGGCTGGTGGTGATCGTCGCCGTGGTCATCTTGCTGAAGCTGGTCAAGGAGCTTGGAGTGGTGGCACTGCGGAACTGCTTGCGAAAAGAGGAAGAGCTGCGGTTCCAGAGAACCTGTGCAGAAGCGGTGATGCCGGAAAGGCCAACGGAGAGCTCAGCCGGGGTGAACCTTTTCGCGGTAAACAGAGTGGTGGTGCCGGCGGAGAGCTACACGCTGGTGAGGACGGGCGTGAAGCCACAGTTACCCCGAGGAACGTGCGGGAGGATCACAACGGTGGCCAGCTTGGCTTTGAGAGGAGTTGAAACGGGATCCGCTGTCATTGAACGCGACTTCCGTGGAGAGGTGAGGATTTTGGTCAGGAACCATGGACCCCAGGACTACGTCATCGAGCCGGAAGAGGCGGTAGCGCAGTTGGTGCTGGAGAAGGTTTCCCTGGCCAAGATCAAGGAGGTGAAGGAGTTAGACGGGCCTGTGAAGAAGCAGACAGAGGAGGTTGGTCCTTCGGTGAGATCGTTGGTGGTCGAGAAGGCGGGTGCTTCGTCAGGGAGATCGTCTATGAATTGGATGACGCCGGAGGTGAAAGGCTTTGGGAATGTGGGTGAGGGGTTGCGGCTGCGAAAGGTTGCACCAGCCGGTGGTGGAGATGGTCCTCCGGAGGTGACAGAAAGGCCATCGCAGGATGAACCTGGTGAAGATGAATGGGAGGTCGAGTTCCGCGAGAATGAGATTAGACTTTCCCGCATTCACATGGTGCCGCGCTACTGGGACTACATTCCGAGGCCTAGAGAGCTTCCACCCGGCATCAACTTTGAGGACTTGGACTACATCAGGATCTCCGAGATCGCTCCGGACGCTGAGAACGGCATGACCTGGGAGAGGATGGTCGAGAATTGGCAAGAAGAGCACTGGGAGAGGAGGACGCCATGGACGGGGTCTTCAAACTTCAGGGTCTTGAGGCGGCCCGAAGCCGGAGTGAGGAGCTCGAGTTCAAGTGGTCCGGGGCAACAACCTCCTGGGAACGGAGGAGGTGGAGAATCGGGATCAAGGCCTTCTGGTTTTTCGGGAGGGGATTCCTCGGCGGTTGGATCAGGGACATCGGCATCTACCGGAGGTGGTGGCGGTGGCATTGATGGGGCGGCAAACAAGCGGCCTAGGACGCATGGAGAGGAGATGATCTCGCGGCGGGTTGTGGGCGGTTCGGATCAGAACATGCTGGAGATCATGCGGCGCGCTTTCTTTCAGGACCTTGAGGAGAGCGCGGTGGTCATGTTGTCCCATCCGCCTAAGGGGACACGGGACGAGTGGATTGAGGTGCCCCTTCCTGGCCTTGGAGAGATTGGCATCCAGGTCCACAGGAAGGAGCGCGTGAAGCTCTTCGACACCGAGAAGGAGGGCTACGAGGGAACGAAGCGCACCATTGCCTGGTCCGTTGGAGGAGGGCTGTGGGTGGATCTGTCGCCCCGGAAAGGGCGGCGCGAGAAGTTCGAGAAGGGCAAATGGGTGGGCTACACCATCTTCAAGAAGAGCTGAGGGGTTTGAGCAGGTTCTTTTTCCGGGTGAGACCCTTAAAAGAAGGGGGAGCCCTGATGTTTGAGTTGCGGATGAAATCACTGGGCATGACAGCCCCTTTTTGGCCGAAGAAGGAAAATAGCCTGCAGTTAGTTGAGTGCTAATAACACCATTTGCCTGGTATTCAACTGCTCGATTCCAAACCTATGTCAACTCAAAAATCGAAAGGCGGCTGCAGCCATTTTTTGGTTGGGACCATCCCTAAGCTTCATCTCGTTTCGTCGGCCGTCAGCCGGCAGCCACCCCGAATTTGGGTGATTTTTTTTGGCAACGAAAGGAAACCAAACGAAACCCAGTCAGCCGGCTTTAGCTACTGTTTGTTGTGTTTTTTTAGCCCAGAGCCACCCTGCCAAAACGCTTGGAGAACATCGCTCGTGGCTCAAGGCTCTGGATTCCAAGTCCCAAACCGAGCCGCGTACTCGCGTCCTCCAGGCTCCACGCCGAACCATTCCACGTACCACGCGCCTGCAGAAGCGAAGCGAGACACCGGCGGGGCGGAATGCGGAGCGAAGTCTCGCAAGTGGGGCTGCCCGTTCTTTTGAGATCCCCCGCGAAGAGCGGGGGATAATTTGGTGGGTTAAATACGGAAACTACCACTAAACACTGAAAGGATCCAAAAAGCTAAGGAACCGGATGGCTGGGAGCCACCAAGGCAATTGTGGCTTACTTCCATTTGCTTTTTCGGCTGCTTCCAGTAGTGATGGATTCCCTTTAGAACCAGCAAAGAGCAAAGAGCAAAGATCTCGCATTATTTTTCGCCTCTGGACAAGTTAATCGTACTTCCAGTAGTGATGGATTCCCTTTACCAGCAAAGAGCGAAGGCAAGTCAAAAACATACGCTTAAACAAATGGACGTTTCATGCTGCTATCTCCAAAGATTCTGGTATCCCACACTTGGCGGATTGGATTGGTGGTCCCTGCAAATTTGACGTTTGTGTTTTACCTTTTAAGCCGCCCATTTGTTTTTATGTCTGTCCTCTATCTTTCAGCTTTGCGCAAGTTGTGGGTTAAGATTGGCGACTTGGTGCTTGGGGGTGGGTTCCCATTTGTCCTCTACAAGAAGCGGAGCTTCAATCCAGCCCTAGAGGGTTCTGACATCCTTTTGGCAAACAAATCCAAGGCACCGCATTGAGAATGGGCACCTCAGACCCCAAGCCGGTGAGTTCCCTTCGGCGCCCGAAATGTTTACCGCCTTCCGCTCCCCCCCCCTCCCCCCCAAAAAGAAAAAAAAGGAAAAGGAAAAAACTTGCAGCCCCTCCAAGAAGGAACAAACATCAACCCAAGAAGGAACAAAAGACAACTGGGCGAGTTCCCTTTGCCCCAGTGCGAACACCAAAATTGGTCGGCGTGCCCGCCCAAATCCAGCCTAAGCCTTGCTCCAGCGGGCCCGAGCAAATCTTCCTCCAAACCCACTCCTGCCACCAAGCAAACATCAGCCCTGTTGCTTTGACTTATTTTTGTCGTGGGCTTGGGATGCTTGGTTTTTCAGGTTTGATGCTGTTGCTGCGGGGTTGCGGAGGTTTGATTGCCTTCTGTTGCGCTGTTTGCTTGTCCGCCCCCTGGGAAAATAATTCATTTCAGCAGATGGGTGGTTGCTTTAGCGTTGTTCTTTTGTGGCTTTTCCAGGCTCTGGCATTTTGGCGGTTGAACTATGTTCTGCTGAGGTCTCACCCTACAAGTAGGGCTGCCCTCGCTCTTCGAGCTCAAGCAGCTGGATTTTGTGTATTGGGAGGTTCTATGCGTTTTGTTGAGAGGTAAGCCTTTCAGAAAAATCGAGTCTGGCAATCCGGGACACATTCCCAATCCATGTAGACAATAAGCTTACCCACATTTATACTCATGGGCCAAATAGTAGTACATATTGCCTACATCGATTGTGTCGGATTCATCGGCGTACCGAAGCCACTTCTAAAACACGTTCCAAGCATTGGCTTTGTCAACTCGTAATATCGAACTGGTGACATCGGGTGCCCAAAGGGCCCAGATTTAAAAGATGATCACCTTTTGGCACCTGTACTAAAAATGGGCCAAAATGGGAAAACCAAAAGGTCGAAAGGTCGGCTTTGGACAACTGAGGGTAATCTCGGGTATTCGTTTGAATTGTCCAATTGGGCTCTCGCAGCTCCCGATTTTCCAACAGGCTCCTTCACAGAGCTATGAGCTCACCCAAGACCAGAGTCGTTGTCTTGCTGACGATAGGTAGGGAATGACAATTTCGGTTGTTGGGAATGAACGGCTTAGGGATTCCCTTAAAGGAACCCACAAAACTTGTTTTTTCCGGGTTCATTCCGTTTCTCCTTTCCCTATCGAACCGATCGTCAAGTAAAGGCCCGCCCGCATCTTAGACGGGTGCGTGTTTTGCCGGTTTTGAGGTGCTTTGTACCGTGAGCAACTCCAAGAGCTTGAAGCTGTTCTCTCCTCATGCACCTCAAACAAAAGGAGCCCAAAAAATCGACAGGGACATTAGGACCCCAGCAAAAACTAGTTTTTGTGCCTGGAAAACAAAGGGAACCCCCAAAAAGCAAAAAACGCCAAAAAAAAAAAGTAAAAAGGGTAAGTAATTCCGGGGAAGCAAAGAGCCTCACCAAAATGCTGCTGACTCCTCCAAGGGCTGCAGGCAAATGGTGGCGACGTCCGTGTAGACCCCCCCGTAGCGCGCTAGGAGCGCCAAGCGCAAGGCGTCCGATTGCTGGGCTGCCGGAAGCTCCTGAAGCGAAAGAGATGAGCCTTTCGGTTGGGCCCACGGGTTGGGATGGCTCGTCTTTCGTCGTGTCGTTGGGTTGGACTTCGCCAAAGAGAGATGGGGGTTGTTCTTCCGGAGACCCCGGAAAGGGGCTCCTTTGGGTTGTCCTTTGAAATACCGAAAGAAATAGGGGTAGCCAACTCAGGAAAAGGTACATGCCGACCTTTGCCCGGTACCAAGCTGGGGTGGGCCTCATTTCTTGAACCATGTCCTGGCCTTCTTTGAACAAGAATGGTTTAGACGAGAGGTTGGGATATGTCCAACTTGCTCAACTTTCCACAAACAAAGTGAAAGAAGCCCGGGGTTGGTTCATTGTGGGCCGCCTTTCAAAGCCGGCCAAACAACTGTCCAGGGCGATTCAAGCCCTTGCTGAAAGCCTTCCACTTGCTTTTTCGCCCTCCTGGAAAAAACGAGAAAATAATGTCCAGTAATAATAAATCCCATTCAAAACCAACAAGGAAGGAACAAATAAAGAGATTATGTCCAGTAGTGATACATCCCATTTCAAAACCGAGATTCTGTCCAGTGGTGATAATCTCATTTTAAAAACCAACAAGGGAAAATACAAAAAATAATCATTTGGCCATGGGTCAAAATAATTCAACATACCCCAAGTGAACATCCCAATCCCCCCCGAAAAATAGGTTCTAAAATGGGTAGTGCACCTACCAACCAACATGGTATCCCAAAACGGTTTTGACAACCACAGCCATTTCTCGGCAAATTGAGAAAAGAACAGAAAATATGAGACAATATGTCCAGTAGTGATACATCCCATTTAAAGCCAACAAGGAAGGGGAAAAACAAATCTGTTCAGTAGCGATAAATATCATTTGAAACCAACAAGGGAAAATGCAAAAAAACAAAAAACAGAAGAAGAAACCAAAAGACAGAACAACACAAAACACATTTCCCAGCATATGGATTCAAGGCCCCAAACAACACGATCCTCCGCGCGGCTCTCCTCGTAGCAGGCCGGAAGCTCGCAGGTCCCCCGCTCGAAGTAGCGCCAGACCGAGTCCTTGTCCAGGATCACCACCTCTCGAGCGCTGACCCGTGCGGCTGAACCAGATCGCAACCAATGGCTGGAAGTAGGACCCCAGCAAAAAATAAAATGCCTGGTTAGTGGAAAAACAATGGGAACCCCCAAAAAACCAAAAACAAAGGAACTAATTCTGGGGAAGAAGCAACCAACCAACCAACCAACCAACCAACCAGTCCCCTGGCCGGGGCGAAGCTTCTTTTCCCGAGCCAGCGCTGGTTTAAAAAAAATAAGAGACTCCGAAACACAAGGTGAACCTTTTGGGGTGCTGGGAATGAACCGTTTGGGACTCCCTGAAAGGAAACCAAATCGGAGATGGTTTCCAGGCTCAGTTGCTCAAAATACCCAGAAATAAAAGGTTCATCTTTTGGGGTCTTGCCTGAAGCTGGACCACAGGGAAACCGAAAGGTCGAAAGGTCCAAAGGTCGATTCGCTTTGGGCAAGCGAGGGGCCATATGGCCATGGGTGAAAATCCAAATCGAAAGCCAAATCGAACCCCCAGTGAGTTCATCCCAATCCAACCACGGAAAAATAGGCTCGAAAATGGGTGGCGACACCAATCCCAACCAAAATGGGACCCAAAACGGTTTTGACCAACCACCGCCAGATCCATGGGCCATACTGAACCGATGGTTGCGACATCCGCTTCTCGAAGCCCTAAGATCATTCCGAGGAAACCCATGGGTCACTGAAATTGTGGCAAGATACTGTGGATGGACGAAATCCTGCACTACTTTGAAACCCTGGGAAGCCATTTTTCGGGGGAATCATCAATCCAGGGTTTCTTAGGTGGTGCAGGATTTCGTCCCTCCACAATATTGCAGGGGTCACTGAAGATTCAGGTAGCCCCCTAGTTTGCTGCTTTGGATTGGTGGTCTGGATTTGGAATTGAGTCTAAAAGTCTAAACCACCAAACCACCAATGAGGGGCAAGGTGAAATATAGTGGATGGTTGCGATTTTCGCACCCCCAAGAAACCACGGGTGAAACTTTGCAGGGGAATCGAACCAAAAACGGTCGTGCGTATGGATTCATCCATCCACAGTATGTCACCTCACCCCTAATTGGTGGTTTGGTGGTTTGGACGCTAGGTTCAAATCCCCGAACCACCGATCCAAACCACCAACTTAGGGGTTCCTCAATATTCAGTGCCCCTTGCAATCCAACACAATCCCGGTTAAGAGAACGCCCGACCCCAATTTCCGGTACCTCCATTTCTTGCATTTGGAACACACAAAGAACGCCGGTCTCTCAAAACCTGTCGACGTTTTGCTTTGCCAAGCACTGTTCGGCTTAGAGATACCGGTGAGTAATTAGAACCTTGAGCTTGGCCGTATCTGCTGTTGACCTCGTCGGTCAAACTGCTCTTTGGGGAAAACGGCAACCCCTTCAGGCGAGCCCGCAGGGCTCCGGGAAACGGTGCACTTAGGTGAGAAGTGATGCATTTCAGGAGCATCCGAAGTTGAACAAAACGCGTCGAGATGCTCTTTGTCGCCTTCCTGCCCTGAGATTCTCGGGTGAATCCGTATCGAAATCGGGAGACCCTAAAAATCCACGGTGTCCTTTCCTTGAAACCAAGACGAAAAGGTGCAAAGGGGTGCCGGACCCCCAAATTGCGGTGTCCTTTCCTTCAAAGTGCGGTTTGAGGGTGGCGAAAGAGAGCCTCCCAGAAAATAAAACACGTTCGAATCTGCGTGGTGCATCTGGGGCTGACTTGGCTTATGTCTATCTGGGCTTTGGAAAACGCAAATGTACCTGGTTGGTGGAAAGTTACTTCACGGGGCGAAACAAGGCGCCTCCAAAAAAACGCCAGGTCCATTTGTCTCAAAACACGAGCAACCCAGGTGACAACGGGGGGCGCAACACGGCGCCTCCAAAAAAAACGAGCAAATCCCGCCACGTCTCCGCCTGCCAGGAGGGGTTCTGCAGGCGCCAGGTGTGCACGCAGAGGCGCCGAAAGCCCGTGAGCTCTGAGCAGCCCTGGGCCTCGGCTCGAGCGGACCGGGCGGTCCAGGGTTGGAAGGGGTTTATCCAACGGATAAACCACTTCTGTGATACTTTTGGGAATCCAGTCTTTATACAGGGGGTTGGTTTTTTTGGGGGCCCTTTTTGTTGTATCACAGAAGTATATAGTCACTTCCCACAGCCCTGGGGCGGTCCATTGCTCAGAGTTGCGAGAAGTGGCAGGACGTTTCCCTGGGCTTCAAGGGGATGGACGGGAAGGGAATGAACTCAGGTCCATGTGTTGGGAATGAACTGGAAGGGGATAATCCTAGCTAGGTCACTCCAGTGGAGAGGCTAGAATAAGGGCACCAACTTTTTTTCGGTTTTGTCTGTTTTAGTAGGGGAACCCTCCCCCAAAAAAGAAACGGTAAAAGTTGGCACCTAGCTGGGGGAGCTAGGCTTTAAGCCCCATGCGAAGAATGGCTGACAATCCTTAGGTGAACAATGGTGGGAATAAAGAACCCAACCAGTGTTTTAGTGGCGGCAGCTGAACCCCAGTGCTTCAAGGGATGGAAGGGAATGACCTGCATGACCTGAGTCCGGGTGTTGGGAATGAACTGGAAGAAGATTCCCGCATCACGGAAACAGTCTCGGGGATGGTTTTACTTGGGGATAATCCATTTCTCATTCCCAGCTGAGAACCAGCAAGACAAGGGAAATCAACGGGAAGCCACCGCACTCATATTTGTCTTTGAGTTAAGCTCATCTGACAATGGGAAATCAGTCTACCAATTTTGGGCCCATTTTGCTTTCGAGTTGGTGTGACCATCAAATTATCCTAACAGTGGTTGGCAAAGAATGGCCTTGGGACCCATTTTGGATGATGACAATCCTGGGTTAAATACGGAAGCCCCCACCAAAACCAACTAAACACCTGAACAGCTAAGTTGAACCGGACGGCTTTCAACCGCCGAGTCTGGGAAGAAACTTCTTAGGGCGTCTTAGAATTTCTGAAAACCGCTGTGGTTTAGTGGTTTCCGCGTCCTGAGTGTAGGGCTTGTTCTTTCCCACTAAAATGGTCTTCCCACAAAGTATAGAGCCCGGGAACTCATCAAGTGAGGAGTCATATGCTGGCTTCATTTCTGGCCGAGAATCCTTAGCTGCTCTTTGTACCCGGGTCAGACAAAGGACTCTTACTTGCTTACGTTCGCAACATCGGCAACGATCCAAAGGGCCCATTTTGACTTGCCGAGAGTCAGAGCAAAGCCGCTTCATCCACGACTACGATCTCTGCCTCTTTGATTTGTCTCCACAAAAGGAATCCAACCCTTCAAGCCCTTCACCCACCTGCCCAAACAGGGCTCTCCTATGTTTCCCCCTTTCATCTCACTGCCAGACTCAAAAAGTGGCCATACTTGGATGGTCGGTGCCAAATTCGCAAGCGGCTAGCCACTTGGGCTTTTGCACCCCCATAACAACAAGTGGAGAACCCCACGTTCACGGGGGACTTTGTAAAACAGTGGGTTGATTGCCACCGAAGGATTATCGTTACAACTTACTAGCTTGGCGAATCGAACACCCACATAGATATGTATGCATGTATGTATATATATATATGTACATATATGTACATATGTATATACTCACTGAGCCCCGCAGGTTTGGCTTTGGATTGATTCACACTGAGGTCGGCGCCCAAAACATCCACACCACCCGCGGGGCGTCTCCCTCGAGGGCACTTGGAAGGCCGGAAGAGAGCGGCAGGTCCAGCCATCGTCGCAGCCGATCTGCGGCGGCGAAGGGCCTGGCGGGGGAAGACACGAGTCATACTCAAAACCTGATCTTGAAAATGGTCGTAATCCCAGAACCATGCTTCAGGAATTGTCAGAAGGCGGACATCCGCAGCGATTGATGGCCAGGAGATTGTCCCCTTACTAATCTTCATCTACCCGAATCGGGTTTGGTTGTGGCTCACTCGAGGAGCTGATGGGGGAAGAGTCTGAGCCGGGGGCCCCGGGCTTTTGGGATCAATGAGACCCTCCCAGCCTTTTCACAGCCGCAGTCAACGCCTGGTGTGGAAATGGTTGAAAGTCCAGAACCATGCTTCAAGAATTAAGGCCGCAACTATTTATGGTTAAAACTGTCCCTTACTAACCTTCACTTATATGACATGTGGTGAAAGCTCCGTTTGTCTTGCCGATTGGGTCATGGTTCCCTTGACAGGAATCATTGACATGGTATCAAGCATGCTTTCTGCCAGGTGGATGACCATCCCTGTTAACCCAAAGTAAAGGAAGCGGTCTTTTGACCATGGCACATGACTATGAGCCATCCCCATGTTTGGCTTCCAAGAGAATCCCGACTGCCCGATTCACCAAAGCCCTCTGGCTTTCTTTCGCATGGAAAAGGGTCAGGTGAGAGGCCTGGACCCTCACACCCAAGGCAAAAGAGCCGGAAGCCCGAGGTGGGGGATGAAGCCACGAGACGATATCACTCCAAACTCACCACACCAAAGAAGCACCAGAACAACTTACATGGCTGTGGCTCAAAAACCCGGGATTCCCAAAATGGCTTGCCCTGGTAAGTGGAGCCACCACACGCTTCGAGACCCCGAGAAGTGGCACCGAGTGGCACTTCTTGGCAGAAATTGGCTCGGCCAACCTCAGTGGCCTGTCCGGATCCAGCCCCAGGGAAGCTGCGCGGTTTGGGTCTGCTTTCTTGCCGGATCCACGCAGGTGGCAACGGCTTGGATCGAAGGAAGAACAAAAAAACGCACCCCCCAGGGATGTCCTTCAAAAGGTTTGCAAGTTTGGGGGAGCAACCTGATCAAGGTGTTCGCTTTGCTTGGGGGTTCCCAATGCTGAGAGCCCACCGGACGCGGAAGGAAGCCTCCCTTCCGATGATTCACCGGCGCCAGTTTTTTGGGCGGTCGCTGGCTTCCCATCAGCCCATTCGAACTGGTGGCTTCTTTCTGAGACAATGGAACCAAGCCATGGTTTCCCTTTTACGGCATTGACTCTGCAATAGAGCCAGCGTAAATGCAGTAACTATGGCTCGCCTTTTGCGAGATTTGAATATATAGACTCTTGAGTTCTCTTGTTCTTTGGCTGGCAAATTGAATTCTCTTGAATTCTCCTGAATTCTCTTTGCCAAGCTTGATTGTGAAGATTCAGATTCTCCAGTCGAAGTGGTTCAACAAACAGCCGCAGCGCCACCCTCACAGCTCACCCCGCCATCCCTTCGCCTCAGGGGCCTTGGGGCTGGGGCGATGAAGCCGCCAGTGGCGATGAACCTTGCGCCGCAGAAGGAGTTGGCCGCCCCCTTTTGGGATAAGCGAAGTCAACGGGAAACCAATGCACTCAATTTATGATTTCGACCCTGACACCAGGAAATCAACTCCAAACCACATAGAAAAGGATTCAAAACACGACCCTCAACTTGCGATCGGTGCACTAGGCAGGGAATGAGAACTGGAATGAATTCGGGGATTCCCGAATAAAGGAAACACAGGATGGATGGAATGTATAGGGGTGATTTCCTGCGTTCTCGGCTGAGCACCAGCAAGTTTTTGTTTTTCCCGATTGGAACTACCCAACCACCTGGAAAAGGGTTATGTGTCTTCTTGCTGGTGCGAAGGGAATGACCTGAGTCCCGGTGTTGGGAATTAATTAGAAGGGGATTCCTGCATAACGAACCAGTCTCGGGGATGGTTTTACTTGGGGATATTCCATTTCTCATTCCATGCTGAGAACCAGCAAGACAAGGGAAACCAACGGGAAGCCACCACGCTCACACTTGTTTTCGAGTTAAGCTCATCTGACAATGGGAAATCAGTCTACCACTCTTGGGCTCATTCTTGCTTTCAAGTTGGAGAATGGTTGACCCAATTTGGATGACGATAATCCTTAGGAAGACAATTGTGGTTATATGAAGCCAACCATTGTATTCATGGTGGTTTGACCCCCATGGTGGTTTAAACCCCAGAGTAAGGATCCCTCTGACAAATCTAATCCCTGCTTAACGGCCGAAGGAAAAATTCACCCAATCGGACTCATCTGATTCAATCCCTGGGCCATAGCCAAGGAAGCGGTTGCAACCTAGTGACCTATTGGTGACCACACCAGCCAGGGCAAAATTTCCCGAGCTTCCTAGGGCTCTGTTTCAATTCTCCCCTTAAAACATCACTCCACAACTTCTAATTGTCTGACCCCCGGAAAAAATGATAACATATGTCCAGTGGTGATAGATTCCAATTTCAAACCAAACAAGCAAAATACAGAAACAAAAGCAAATCCGTCTCAGCAAATGCAAGATGTTGAGCCAAAAAAAGCAGCGCCGACCAAACAAAAAGAGCACATCTAGGTCCTCCAGTAGAGAGGTTAGAATAAAGGCACCCTTTTTCGGTAGTTTATTTTCGTAGGGGAACCCTCCCCCAAAAAAGAAAGAAAGGGCACCTAGCTGGAGAACCTAGACATTCTTTCAGCCAAACACCGCAGGAGCGCGGCAGGGCGCGCCTCTGGAGGTCTCGGCCTTCGCACATCGGCAGCACCGCGCCGCTGTACGCGAAGCCCGGGTACTCCTCACTGGCCAAATCCGGTCCCAACGGATGGCCTAGGACGCCCACTTGGCGACAACCCCCATTTCACCCACCTACAAAAGGACACCTAAAACACCAAAAGGACACCCTTAGAGGTGTGCAGTTGGTTTTTCCACCAACCCAGTTTGACCAGGGGGCCCCTAGAATGAAGTCCTTGGGATGATGCAGTCCTTGGGGTGTCTTTTAGAAGATCTGAACTGTTTTCCTTTGTTTTAAGCGATGGGAAGTACGCTGTACATATCGATCTATACACACATATTTGTACGTATAATAATATCAAGTGGTCTATCTGAGGGTGCATGTAAGGAGCCCGTGCCTTCTTTGGACCAGACTTAGATCCCCTGCCAAAAAAAACAAGTTGCCGGTTGGAGATGGACATGAAGGTAAAACCGCCGAAAAGGCAAACAAGAAGTTCCAGGGAACCCGAGCCTCGCGCACTCAGCCCAAACGTTTTCTCGGCTCGAAGCCCAACCGCCTCCAGCAACCGCCGCAGGCACTCTTCGAAGGAACCAGAGGGGGCCTCCCCGTGCGGGAGAAAGGGCCAGGCTCCTGGCGGAGTGGTGATTTGGCAGCCTGGTTCGGCTTCTTTTTTGGTTTAGGGTCTTAATTTCAAGGGTTGGTTTGGGGCCTGACTTTTGGGGGAGATGTTCCCATCACATTTCGGGTGTTATAGTGTGTGTGTGTGTGTTGGTGGGTGGGATAGGTAATATGAGAGATGCAACGAGACTCTTAAAACAAAAGCCGGTGGGCCTGGTGCCAGGTCAAGAAGCTGAAAGATACATCTCGGTTGCGAAGTCTGCTCCCCTGCGAACAGTTTAACTTTTACTGGTTTAATGGAAAACCCATTAGTTGGCAAACAGTTAAAGTCCGAACATCCCTGGGCAAAATGCACCACAGCCATTCCGGCTTTACACCCGACCTGAACTCGGAAACTCTCCTCTGACGAAACTTTCAGACCTTGCCGGGGTCGCAAAGCAAACCCCGTTTTCTGAGGACGCAAGGATGAAGAGAGGTGCACGTCAACCAGGCCCAGGCTGCAAGGGATCCCTGGGGGCGTGGCTATCTAAGGGTGGAAGTACATACCCCTTGTTTGTACCCCTTGGCTTGCGTGGTTTCCATACCTGGGCGCGCCGAGAGGGGGAGAAATCCGGAATTGGACGGGGTGCCACATGATCTGCAATTCGAATTAAGACTGTTGTGTCTTCCTTTTTTTCTTATTTTGGGGGAAGAGGGGAGGGGGGGGGTGGTAGGACCTTTTGGTTGTTGTTGTTTCTCCTACTTTATAATATACCCCTTCTGGGGAGAGGGGAGAGCGAACATCAGCAGGCCTCTCAGGGGCTCATTTGTCCAAGGAGTATGTAAAAGGGTTATGTACAAGCACCCCCGGAGGCTAACAACTATGGTGTATACGGTATACCTCCCTGGTGGCACGGCTATGTACTTCTCTTTTCAGATCCGAAGAACCGAAGAATCAGCGAGCTTTAAGAAGAAAGACACCCAGATACCGGAGGTCCCCCCCCCGCGCCTATGCCCACCTGATGTCCCATGGAGGCGAGAGTGGCCAAGGTTCTGCCGAACTCCTCACGTGGAGTCGTCGCATTCGGGCGGGGGCCCAAGCGCCAAGCGCTGGTTCTCAGTAGGGTGTGTTTCTGTGAGTTACTGGTTTTCAGCGTTTTCAGCAGGGTGGGTTTGCGTGTTTGCAACTTTGGCTTGTTTGTTTGATTGCTTGCTTGCTTGTCTGCCTCTCTGTCTGTCTGTGTGTTTGTTTGCTTGTTTGTTTGTTTGTTTGTTTGTTTGCTTGCTTGCTTGCGTGTTTTTGTTGAGCGTGCCCAGTTCGCCTCGGTTTAAAGGGACCCCACAATGTCAATTTGACACATACCCAGTAGGCTCCTAAAAGAAAGCAACAAGGGACGGTTCGGCTTTGGGTGCTCATATTCCCTGCTGAGAATCATCAAGTTGATCAGGAACCTTGGGCCAAATCCCAATTAACATATGTTCCAGGAAGTGTGCTTTCACCAGGCTGGTTTGCCTTAGAAAAAAAGGGTCTGGTGGTTGTTGACACAATTCCTGCTAAGAGAAATCCAAACACAATTCCGAGTGACTTGCGGAGAAGGGCAAGCTTAATTCAACACATCAGCTTCTGTTCGGCGATCTGGGTGAAAAAAACGGTCGCAAAAACCTCCACCCCTGCTAACAGTTTAACTTTTGGTGGTTTAATAGAAAACCCATTAGCTGGCAAAAAGTTTTAAAGTCCTAACATCCCTGGGCAAAATGCCCCAACGATAAGAGGTCGATGGGCTTTCCCTTGCCACCGCTTTCGACAACCCGTGTCCACGTGGCCGCCGGGAGGCTGGGACAGCCATCCCACCTCTTAGTCTATGCGAGTCAGGTTTGAACAGGGGTCCTTTCTGGCCCAGCCCCAAGAGACCCCCTCAGTCCCTCACAAATGAATCAAGGTATATGTATTCATGCAAACGTATACAGAATATATAGATATAATCATATATTTCCCCCTCTTGTAAACATCACCCCAAAGAGGCTCACCTTTTATTGGCCCAGCAGGTGGTGTTTGAAACCAAGGGGAGTTCAGTTGTAACCCTGCAACATGAAGTCTGAGTCACCACCGCGAGTTCTACTACCTCCAAACCGCGACCAGGGGTTGAATGGGATCTCACCGATGGTATGGGTGTGGCTCAAAATTAAACAAGAGGGGTTACGCAGATTTTGGTCCATGTTTTCACTTACCAGGGTTCCATTTTGGTACGTGTTTTTATAGCCACAGCCATATGGCCAGATGCAACGGTGCCAACCGGGCCGAAGCGCCCAGTCTCCTCGAAGTCGCCGTAGACGCCCTGCTTCGCGCCCGTCTGTTGGTCGCCCGGCTGTTGCTCCGAAGATCCGATCGGGGACATTTGGTCCTGGGTAAAAGGAAATCAAACCAGCTTCCGATCGAGTGGATTGGTCAGAAGAAGTCCAACCTGTTTGTTTACCACTAAAATGGTGCTCTCCAAAACTTTCAAGTCCAGGAACTCACCGACCGCCACTGGCCCAAGAAAACGACCTTTTGTGTCTTTGGTTGGGGGCCAAGCCGCATGCCCCGGAAGCAACTGACAGGGTTCACTGAACCAACCCATCTGATCGCCGTGACTGCCTCACTTCCAGTGGAGACATGTGGAGACTGGCATCACAGAAACTGGCCACCTAAAACCAGTTTTCCCGCCCATAAAACCAGACGGTCAACAAACAAGCCTGGGGTTGGAGAAACAAGAGGCCCCCAAGCAAAAACAAAAACATTTTTTCACAGTGTAGGTAAGCGTGGGTGAAAATACCGAAGGGTTTCCTAATTGCAGTGCCTTGCCTAGTACTAGAAGCGCTGGGTAGGCTAGTGGGCGGTCAATCCCTTGCAACCGCCTTGATAAGCCCCAGGATAAGCCAAGGAGAAGCCCTTAATAAGGCCTTAAAAAGGGGCTCATAAGGAATTGCCCCTCTCCCTATGGCCCCCCTTAGGGTCCATGATGATTCTACCAAAACCTTTTCTCCCATCTGCTTTTTTGCCCCCTTGAAAAATTGAGAACATCTGCCCAGTGACATGTTCCCTTTAAAACCAACAAGGGAAAACAAAACATATGTTTGCTCTCCAGCAAATGGAAGAACAGGTCATTCACACGTTGCACCCTGCCGAACCCACCGCGCCAAGAGGCGGGGAAAAAAACAACTAAATCACAAACATATTGTTGCTTAAAAACTGTCCAGTGATAAGTTCCCTCTAACACCAACCAGGGAAAAAAAAAGAAAAAAAACACTACTTTGTTAAAAAACAAAAACATCAACCAACATGGATGAGGCCAGTTTTCAAAAAAGAAAAGAAAAACAACATCGACCAATATGGATGAGACCATTTACAAAAAAACATCGACCAACATGGATGAGGCCATTTACTAAAAAAAAACATCAACCAACATGGATGAGTCGATGAGTCCATTTTTCAAAAAAAAATCAACCAACTTGGATGAGGCCATTTTCAACAACATGGATCAGGCCCCAAAAAACACAGATTCACTCCAGCAAGCTTCGGCTTCGTTCGACTCGCCTCCACGTCCAGCCGCCGCATCTCCTCCTCCGCGGAGCGCGCGAGCTGCGGCGTCAGCAGCGGGGAGATCGCCAGGGCCGCCCCGTCGAGCCCGGCCGTGGCCTGAGAGAGCCCTGGCCCTTCGAGGACGTGGGGGCCCTGCCTGGTTTTTAGGGAATCCCCTCCTAAAAATCAAGATATATCTATATATCTATATCTATATATCTATATCTATATATCTATATATATATATACATATATGGTTTAACAAAAATGTCCTTTGGATTCCCTGTAAAAAAGCACGAAAAGCGGTTTTTAGGGAACCCCCCCCCCAAAGAAAAAACATGTTGAAAAAGTGTTGAACGAAACGTGGTTTTCCTTTAAGTTCCTTCCCTTTAGACAACAAAAGGAGCTACTTTCAGAAAGCCCTGGTTTTGCTCACCGCTTCGGGGAGTGAGAATGGCGCGATGGCCGCAATGTAGGTTCTCGGGGATTCCTTGGTTCGGATACTGAAATGGCCGATCATTCTGAATATTGGTGTGCCTGCCACCCCATGGGACCCCCAAAATGGCTTCGGTGTTCCTTCGGTCTCTCCGTAAGAAAAACCACGAACAAAGAAGGGGCGACTTTCGAGACCCTAACCCACGGCTGAATATAAGTATGGAACCCCGCACAAAAAAACGTTGCAGTTCGACCGGGCTCGGCTGGGTTCCTGGTTTCATGGGAAAATTGTGTTGTCAAGTAACACACGACCAGAGTTGCAAACATGCTTAAGCACCTCGTTAAACAACCTCCCTGCGGCTCCACTTCAAAAACTAGGTGGTGCAGAGTCATTGAAGCCCAAAAGTGACTCTTTGTGACTAAACTTGGGGTCGCTTTTCGGACCACGGGTTCAACCCCACCCATTGACCCATCACCCATGGCTTTGCTATCTATGTATACCTGGCCCTCACACCTGTAACATGTGAGCCAGCACTACTGACTGGGACAGCGGATACCCGAGATATTGCAAGTAAACCAACCCTCAACCACAAAATGATGAGTAAACCTACCCTCAACCACAAAATGGCTAAAATAACATTTATTTATCCTTTTTTTTGATTAAAACAAAAAGAAAGAAAAGACGGGGAAACATTCAATGGGCTTCCTCGACTTTCTTGGGGGGGCAATACTTAGTTCTAACTTAGACCTCGTATTTCGCCGGTGTCCGTCCCGTCCGTCCCGCCTGGTGCCACCACCCGGGCGGCACCAGCAGGGCGTCACCTCAGAGCCGAGTCTGTCGCCCCTTTTTTGGGTTGGACGCCCCAAAAAATGCCGAAAAGGGTGTCCCTGTTTGTTTGGGGGAACCAACACCAGCTGAAAAGGGTGGCCTCGAAAAAAAAAAAAAAGACATCCCCAATTTGGATGACTTGCTTTTGATACAAGCCGTATGGTTTGGTGCTTTCTGGAAGTGCAAGAGCATTCTGGCTCAGATTATTCTGCCCCAAAGTACCTTTCTAAAAGGGCGGAGACCGCGAGGACAGAAACCACTTTGCGGATGAATTCAGATCTCAATACTGATGGTAAACCGCCAATCCCGATGGTACTTGGCGCTCATTTTGTCCAACTAGAGGTTTCTCAAAATGGTGGACCCCTTTAGGGGGTTGTTTTTTCTTGCTGGTGTGATGGGAATGAGGGAATGAAGGCAGGGAATGAGGGCAGGGAATGAGGGAATGAACCGTGTTGAGATTCCCTTCAAGGAAACCAAATCGGTGCTGTTTTTTTTCTTGGGGTCATGAGCCATTTCTCACTCCCTGCCTATCACACCAGCAAGTGGTTTGTTGAGCTTCACCCAAAAAACCCTTAAAAAGGTATGGGTTTACACCAGCAAGTTGTTTGTTTGAGTTTCACCCGGAAAAACTCTTTGGGAGGGGGGTGTCTTTTTTCATGGGTTTCACCCAAAAAGAAACCCCCGTCACCACGGGACATCCGTCTCTCGATGCCGTCTCTCGATGCGACTCCCGGCCTTCTTGGAGGTGGGCCTCGTACATCGCCCGGGCCTGAAGGCTAGGAGACTTCTTGACCCGAAAACGAGAAATCGGACCCCGCCCAAAAAAGAAATCACCGGGAAGCGTTCGAATTGGTACTTCGTCGTAAGTGGCTGAGGGGGAAGGGTACGCCAGGAAAGTGGGTAGTAATCGCCTGGTTATATCACCGCCTACTTTGCTTTTTAGAGGGCTCCCCCCCCCCGAAATCCCTGATTGAATCGGGCATCGTGGGGGTTCTCAGCCCCAAGAAGCGAAAGCTTTGGGAACTCCCGCTAGCACAGCCAGCTTTCGTGATCGGACCCCGCCCAAACAAGATCTCACCGGGAACGCCCAAAACGAACCCACTACTTCAGGGGGGCGATCGGCGATCGAATTGGCACGTCAGGTAAGTGGTGAGTAAGAAAATGAAAACCAACCCACTGAACGGAGACTTCGAACCATGGCTTTTGTGGGTTATGACCACTAGGTCCTGTGGAGAGGTTAGAATAGGTACCCTTTTTGTGTAGTCTATTTTAGTGGGGGAACCCTCCTCCAAAAAAGGGGTAAAAGAGCACTACTGGGGGACCTAGACCATTTTCTTGCTCACCACTTCCCTGACGTACCGAATCGATCGCCCCGTGAAGCCCCGTGAAACAAAGTCTCACCAAGCTGAATTCCAGCAACCTGCGGTTTGCTCGAAGGCTAGACTTTCTCACATCCCCTGCTAAAAGTTTAAGTTTTAGTGGGTTACATGGAAACTACCACTAAACCCTACAAAGCTAAAAGGCTAAGGGGGTGGCTGAGAGCCACCAAGTTTCGACTCAGCGCCCTTTGCGGAAAAACTCTACGGAAAGCCACCGGATGATAGACTCTCCCATCGGCTTGTTTCTGGCCTCCGCTTGAACCATATCCAGCGCGTACAGTTGCCACTGTAGTAGGTAATTAACCAGGATTTATCTTACTTCTAGGTTTCACATCATGATTTCCCTTGGTTACCATACTGGGAACTGGAAGCACTGGGATATGCAAACAGGATTTGCCCTTGGTATCGCAGCAAATGGCAACCAGAAACCCAACTCCTGCAGAAAGAAGCCAGATGATAGCAAAACACACACGGTGGACACACACACACCAAGCAAAACAAAACCAAAACGAACGCATCTCAAACTCAAGCCCTCATGTATTTCAAAGAAGCAAGGCGTCATCAATGTCCTCCCCAGTTGTGTTGCCATGAACTTGGGAGACGACTCTGGTAACCGATTTTAGGCCCGAAGATTGGGTGGGCCAGCGCGAGTGCGGTTCCTGCATTGGCATGTCCTAAGAATTCCCCAGCCCAGCGAGTTGAGCTAAAAATACAGGCTGTTTCCCTCCGCCAACTTCAAAGAATTGTTTTCGAACATGCCAACAACTTAAATGTTTCGCCATGGGAACCTGAGCCGGAATGTATCTCGCCCCCCCCCCACTTCCCACTTGCGGGTTGATGACCAGCATACCAAAGGGGGTCTCTCTCTTAACCTCGGGGACCTCCACAACGAAAAACCAACAAAAAGCACAGCAGAAGCCCTCAGGTTTCACTGCGAAGCCTCCAACCAGCGCGCACGGTCCAGCCTGGGCCTCCGCTGCAAACCTCGGGCCACTTTGCCGATGAGTTCAGCCACCCCTTTGGTTCATGGGGGCATGGGGGAGGGAGGGGAGGGGGTGGGAGCCCAAATAAGCCCTTATGAAGCCCTGAATAAGCCCCAGTTCCTTTTGACACCAACCGGGGTAGCCAACGTCCAAACCACCAAACCAAACCACCAAGTAGGCGGGAAGCTCATGATTCGCTTCAAGAGAAACCCAAAAAAAGAAACGGCTTAGGTCCCTTTCTGTCTTTTAAGGAACAAACACATACATAAGGTTCCGGGAGTCACCAAAACGCGTCTTCTGCTGGAAGCTTCCTTGCCACAAACTCAGAGCATGGCGTTGTGCCTGCAAGCTATGCGTGACACGTGTCAGTGGCTTTGGGATTTCTCTAAAAATCCTTGGCAACATCCCCACCTAAAAAGTTTGCGAGGATACCCGCGTTGCATTCGCGCCATCGAAAAACCGACTCCATGGAACAGTGGTCATGGTTCCCTTGTTTCGGTGGTTGCCTAAGCTACCAATTGCGGGGTCCATGACTATCCCTTCTCTCCATGACAGTACCCTGACACTTGTCGAGATGCGGATTCACAGCTTGTGACCATCCCAGCGGTTCCGAGAAGCCGCAGGGTGACCATGCGCGTCTCTTTCGTTTCGGGGACCCCAAAGATGGCGGACCAGAGGCAGAGGCCCTTTCCCTGGGCACAAGTCTCTTTGAGCATTCATGGGGTTGACCACACCGCGGGGTTCCAAAATAGTGAAGAAAACAAGTTGGGTCGAAGCTATATTGGTGGCTCGCCATCTTTTGAGTTCGTGATCCCCGTTTTTGTGGGTCAAAGGGGAAAAAGTCAACAGGATGATGTTTAAACAATTGTTGAACCTCAAGCATCATTGACCCTCCATTGGAGTGGTCTGGATCTCCGTAAGAAGGGTTTTGGACATAGGAGGCTCTGTTTGAGATGCCAAGCTGCTGGGGGGAAGTATGAAGTTAGACCCAACAGAATTGGGTTTGGGTCATTCCATTTTTGACCCGCACCCATTTCTTTAACCCTTTGACTGGCCCTTCTGCTGAAGCACCCTGGAAGAAATAAACACATGTCCAGCAGTGCTAGATTCCCCTGAAACTAACATGGAACAAACAAAAATACGTTAGTTTCGGCCCTTTATTTAGTTTTACGCCCTTCCCTAGTTTTAGGACTAACCCCGGAGAACCTAACACGGGACAAAAACAAAAACAATAAAACTGTTCAGCAAATCTCAAATGCCCAGTGACCATGGGAGTGACCATGGGGAAAGAAAAGGGAATCCTTTTTGGGTTGATTGACTTTATGGGGGAACCCTTCCCCCAAAAAAAAATGTGCACAAAGGGCACCACTGGGCAACTGGGAAATGGACCGCCGGGCCCCAACCACTCGCCAGCCTTTCCAGCTCCCCGCTCGCTCGGCCCCTCAGCTCAAGCCAAGCGGCAGGTCCAGGGGCGACACGGCACAGCCCAGCTGGCCCTGGAAGGCGCCTAAGCCCTCCGCGCCTGAAAAACACAGATGGTCATGGGTCAAAAGCAAAATCGTACCCCCATTCAACATCCCAATCCCCACTAAAATAGACTAAAATGATGGGTCAAAAGAATCGTACCGCCATTCAACATCCCAATCCCCACTAAAATAGACTAAAATGATGGGTCAAAAGAATCGTACCGCCATTCAACATCCCAATCCAACCACTAAAATAGGTTCTAAAATGGGTAATACACCTACCCCCAAATGGTACCATTGGTTTTGACCCACAGCCAGATCTGTCTGACCTTCCGATCGAGGAAGCGGATGGGCCAACAAAGGCGCAACCGCACTTTTCGAGCTGTACCCTTCCCATTATCTTCAGGCATCATTCTCTTCAAAGAATGGGCCACCTGGAAAATGTGTAATTTCCAAAGAGAACGATGGGGGAAGAGAATGGGGGATCAAACCTTCAAGCTTGTTTGTGTACCGCTAACATGGTCCAAAGCCCAAAAGTTTGCAGCGCAAGCACTGCAGAAGAAATCCTTGTATAAGATGTTGAGGGTGCAGGATTTCGTGCATCCACAGTTCGATAGTGGCTTGCTTGATTTAGGGGGGGGGCTGTCAGTGGGTGGGAGGGTGAGTTGCCCTCAAACGAAAAGGAACCACACCGATTTCCCCAAAATCATCTACTGAAACTTTGAAGCAAAGCGGAATAGCGGAAATGGGATCTGACAACGGACAGCCCAGAAACCCATCGGAGAAGGAAAGTCTTCATGGACTTTATACACTGCGCGCGCGGTTCAAGAAATCGGTTGGCTGAGGCGGGAGGCTGAATTTCTTAGCCTCCATCTCGTCTTTAAAAGGGCGGGGGTTCACCCCTCTGGAGCGAAGGGAGCTGGCTTTCTTGTCCAATTTCCTGTCCTGTGCTGAGAAATTCTGGGGCTCAGTTCCTTAGCGGCCTGTGCGGGTCATAAACAATTCCTTTGCTAAGAAATTCAGCGGCTGAATTTCTTAGCGGCCTTTTCGGGTGATGAAGGACTCCTTTGTCGAGAAATTCAGGGGCTGAAATTCTCAGCGGGCTTTTCAGGTGACGAAGAACTCCTTTGCTGAAGATACACGCCCTGGGAAATGAAGATGACACCACTGCACCAAAGGCCTAGGAAATTGAGCCCCTGGATTTCTTGGCAAAGGAGTCCTTCATCACCTGAAAAGCCCGCTCCTGGATTTCTTAGCGGGCACTTCCCTGATGGTCAAAAATGCTCTCTGTATGGCACAAGTTTGCTCAGAAATTGGACGAAAATTCAGGGGGGCTTCAATCTCTTAGAAGCAAATGCAGTTGCAACCTACTTGATTTGGCAAGCTCAGCACCTAAGATACCCTATGATGATTCCCCCGTACCTGCGGTTTCAAAGCGCTGCGAAATGGACTTCCTGCGTCCAACAAATTCTCTCCATGCTTCGATGGCGTCGCTTGCCCCGCGCCTAGCTGGAAGAGCCGGATTTTGGAAGGAACCGGTGCGTGTCATTTGGCCAAATCGTACCCCCCGGTGAACATCCCAATCCCCGCTAAAATGGACTAAAATGGGTGGTGAACTCACCTACCAACCAAAATGGTACCATTGGTTTTGACCCACAGCCATTTGGGCTTCGTGGAGAGGTTTCATGGTGGAACAACCTCGCGGAAGTGGACTCGACCAGAGAGTGCAAGGCGGTCTGCCATGTGTCATTTGGGGTCTGCAGCTCTTGGACTTTGGTGCCAAGTTTGGAAAATGGGCGGGGGGCCGTTGTCCAATCTGAAAACTTGTAGAAATGCAAAAACACTGGCATGCCCAAATGAGTCTGGTTCTTGTTGGCGTTGGTACCCTTCTGGGTTGTGAAAGGACACCCAAACAAGCCACCCATTTGACTTGCCAGGGAATGAGAAATGGGATGACCCCTTTAACTTCCATCCCCTATGGATCCCCTCTGGTTTCATTTAAGGGAATCCCACGGTTCATTCCCACAACCCGGTCTCGGTCATTCACTGAGCACCTGCCATTGACTCCCACACCCGCGTTTGAAACAACTCAAAGGCCTACGGGACCCAATTGATGCCGCGGGTTTGTTGGGTGTCGACACACTGTCAGAACTGCTGTCAGAACTGGAGGGCACTAATTTGGAAGAGAGGATTCAAATGAATGTTGTTCAACATACCCAAAAAGACACAAACCTCCATGCCCGCCGGAAAAGACATCCTGAGCACTAACTTGAAGGGCAACTTGGGCAGAGGAATCCCATAATTGTTCGGCTTGGCAAAGCTCCGGCGAGTGATGACACCCTGCAAAGCCAAAAATTGAACTCTTGGCTTTGTTTGGTAAAACCCATCTAGGTCCTCCAGTACAGAGGTTAGAATGAGTTGGTACCAACTTCTATTTTCGTAGGGCAAACCCTCTCAACCCGAAAAGAAACGGTAAAAGGGCACCTAGCTGGGGGCCCTAGCCCTAGGAAAGCCCTGCAGCATTTCAGTCACTGGAAGCTGCAAGCTCCGGCGTCCGGCCTGGCGGCAGCAGGCGCACGTCCAGGTGGCCCGACAGCAGCAGGAGGCACTGCCCGTAGATCACGACGTCCCGCCGCAGCAAGGAGTCCGCGCCTTTGGGATCCGATAGCCCGGGGATCGAGGGATCCGGATCGGCGGCGAGCGGAAGGAGCGCACCCTGCAAAAACGAAAACACCTATCACACTCCCCAAGCTCAGCCTGAACTCTCAAACCAGCTCGCACTAAACCAACCGTTTTTTTCCACAACTGGGCGGTTGGCTTCCTGATGCTTTCCCGCCGGAATGGGGTGTAATGTTGAGAAACGCCCCGGGCAGCCAGGTCTTGCCGGTTTGGGCTGTTCAAAATGGAGGGTTGGCCGATCCTCATCAATCCCAAAAGGGGACCCTTCAGTTCCTTGCGTAACCTCTTGGATAAGGATCTTGCGGATTACCTTTGAACAGCCCAGAGGATCCTTGGGGCATTTCTGTTGTTCAACCAAAGGACATGGAACCCACCTAGGTCCTCCAGTAGACAGGTTAGAATAAGGGTACCATTTTTCTGTAGTCTATTTTGGTAGGGGAACCCTCCCCCAACAAAGATGCGGTAAAAGGGCACAACTGGGGGACCTAGCCAAAAGAGAGCCATGTGAAAGGAACATAGTCTTCCAGGTCTTACCGGCTCGGCCCCTTTTCGCGACCAAAGACATTTTCGCCTGGGCCCAGCAAGGCGAAGCAGAAGCGCTCTGGCGGGCGCAGCTGCGGCGGCACCAGGTCCTGCAACAGGTCGCCTCGGGAGATGCTGGGCGATGGGTCGGTCAAGTCACTGGCTGCCGTCCTCGTGTTGTGTTTCTTCACCGACGAGTGTTTAGCATGTCCTCAAAATGTCAAAAAGTCAAAAACAGTCACTGGTGTTCTAGAAAGACGGATCCCCAGAAAGGATGGTTGGAAGTGCCATACCTCACAAGCAGATGAAGAGTCTGGGCGCCAAGAAACCAAGTCACTGATGGCTGCCGTGTTTTGGGAATGTCCTCAAACCGGTTCTTCATTGGAAGGCACCCCGACGGTCTCTGGTGGTTGATTCCAATCATTATTTTCCAACCATCGTTCTTTTGAACAAGACGGGTTGACTTGGGTGTCTGGAGGTGTTCTATCAACAAGGATGCCTAGAAAGAATGGGGAAGCCCCTAGAAGGTCACTGGGGACGGCATTGCTGCCATCACTCCAAATCAGATGGAAAAAAATGAGCCGGAGGTAGAAATGTTGATCAAGCGAGAGGGCTTCCTAACGGGTCCTGTACTTTAAAGCCCTCTGCAACGAGTTGTCCTCTCACAATGGGCTTTCACGGGCCCGAAGGTTCGAATCTTTAAAAAAGCGCCGCAGGCCTTAGGGTGAGCCTTATCCATTTCTCGGTGCGCAAAACATGGCGATATGGCCATGGGTCAAAATCCAAATCGGTTAGCCCCAGTGAACATCCCACTCCAACCACTAGGTTCTAAAATGGGTGGTGCACCTACCCCAAAATGGTACCATTGATTTTGACCGACAGCAATATTTAAACGGGCCCGCCCCCCACCATAGCAAGCAACCGAACCAACCTGTTTGGCCTGTGCCCTTAACCACGTGGCCACTTCTTGGCTCCAGTGACAGGGTTCCCTATCATCAGCAAGGAGAGTCACTTTAAATTGGCAACCAGAAGGCGAATAGAATCACAAGCAAAATATGGGTGCATTTTCCTTTAAGGGGACCCCCCAAAGGTGGTTTCTGTTTGGTTTCCCTTTCAAGCCGCCAAACAGGCGGTGGCTTGGATTTGTGGTTTGGTGCGTCAGGGTGGTTTCAGGGGTGGCTTCAGGGGTTCGAATCACGAAACCCACCAACCCAACCAGTGAGAGAATTTTTCCAGTGTTGATTCCAACCATTCTTTTCAACCATCGTTATTTTCCAAAAACCGGATCCGTTTTATTGGGTTTTTTGGAGGTTTTCTGGAAAGAGCTGGATCCCTGGAAAGAATGGTTGGAAGCCCATTCTATGGAGTCACTGGGGACGGGATTGCACTCGAAATCAGATGAAAACATGAGCCGGAGGCAGAAATTTTGATCAAGCAAGAGGGCTTCCTAAACGGGTCCTGTAGTACTTTCAGCGCTCTTCAACGAGTGGTTTGGCGTGTCCTTTATAAGAGAATCCCCCAAAAAACGGCTCATTCCAACTCATTCCCTAGAAATACAACCTAGAGTATAAAAGTGATAGACTACGTGAGATCCTTCATAGGGAAATGCAACCTTCATTTGCAAGGCCCTAGAAATATAGGGACCCCCTGAGCTTCGCGTCTATCGCTTTCGACCGAGCCGCTGCTGGGCTGCGGTACGGAGAGGTAGCCTTGCACCTCAGTGACCGGGCACCAGGCAGCTTCCCTCGAGCGGTGGCGTGGGCTGTCCGGTGGGCGGACCCCCAGAGCTACTTGCTTTCTTTACCTCAGTTGCCCAAAGGGTCCAGAACTAAAGGTGATCACCTTTTGGCACCTCTACTGAAAATGGGCCAAAATAGGAAAACCAAAAGGTCGAAAGGTCGGCTTTGGACAACTGAGTTACTTTTAGCGGTTGAATACGGAAACCCAAGCACTAAACCAACTGAACGGACCCTTTTTTGCTATCTTCTTTGTTCACTTTTAGTGGGTTAAATACGGAAGCAAAAACCTACTCAACTATCTAGGGCTGTCCATTCTCTGATCCCCTGCTAACTGCTTGATTGGGCTGTCCGTGTTCTGTTCCCCTGCTAACTAAACAAAATCAACTTTTAGTTGGATAAAATACGGAAACCCAACCACTAAACCGACTAAAGACATCCAAATGCATAAGGAACCGGATGGCCGGGAACCACCAAGCAAAAGTAACTGATTAGTGACGAAATCTAAAAACAAAAATCAACACCTCTCAAGAAGGAATTCAAATCCAAATCCAATCCACCAATCCAAACCTCCCAAGGGTTTCCTGAATGTTGGCTTTGCTCTGTTGGAAGGACCTTCCCTATCAGGGGTTTATATTAGGACATCAATTTAAGGGGTCCTCTAGGGGTCTGTGGTAATTCTGCAAGTGCTTTTCTGGGTTTCAGTTCCCCAATTTTATGTCCAAACCGTATAGATACATGGGTGTGTCTTGAAATGGGAATCCCCAAGCTGGTGGTTGTCCTTGTACTTTGCTTTGCACTGACCCGAAAAAGGGGTCCCGAGCCTCAAAAAACGACACACCCATATATGGGTGTGCCGTTTTTTTGAGGCTCGGTACCCCGTTCTTGTGGTGGGAAAGGGACACCAAAAGGAAAATCCACCATTTTGGCGTTCCACCCCCAAAAAAAAACGATCTGGCGTCCCCCCCCCCAAAAAAATAAAAGAAAAGAAAAAAAGACGAGCCACCCCTTTTTTGTTGCACATGGACCAACCCATACCCCACCCCAACGACGTCTCTCATCCCCCCCGATTCCGCGCCGGAGGGCGTCCATGCTGCGCAGCAGCCGCGGGCTAACGGCTCGGAAGGCGGCGGCGCCTCGGGCCTCGGAGGCAACTGATCGAGCTGATTCCGCTAGGTCCTCAGTTGCCCAAAGGGCCCAGTTGCCCAAAGGCGATCACCTTTTGGGACCTTTTTCCTCAAATTGGACCAGGAAAGCCAAAAGGTTGAAAGGTCGGGTTTGGGCAACTGAGCCTCCAGTAGAGAGGTTAGAATAAGTTGGTACCCGATTTTTTTCGGTTTTGTCTGTTTTAGTAGCGGAACCCTCCCCAAAAAAGGGTACAAGGGCCCTACTAGTCCAGTCCAATTCTTTTCAACCGTCGTTCTTTCCAAAAACCGGATCCGATTTTTTCCCCCGGGTTTTGGGAGGTTTCCTAGAAAGATCCGGATCCCTGGAAAGGTTGGAAGCTACCCCCAGAGCTCAGTCCGGACTTGCAGCCCTCAGCCTTCGTGGCCTTAGACTTGCTCAGAAGTTTGGCCAGGTCTTCAGGTCCTGAAAGCTGAGTGTAAGATGTAGTTGACGTTGGAAGGGGAGTTTAGCGGTTAAGTGGGGATTTCAACCACTAAACCACAATATGCAAAAATGCATTCTTTTTCCCAACGGCAACCAAGAAGCTGAGTGCAGTGCTCAAGACACATGGCTTTTGGTATCTGTTTCTTGCAGCTTCCCGACCTAAAAATTAGAACGGAGCCCAAGAAAGGAAAACCCAAAACAGCCAGCAGGGCAGCGAAACACCTTGGCGCTTTGATCCGCTTTTTGCAGCCCGCATTTGGCAGAGGCAAGATCAGCCAGAAACTGGCAAGGCCATGTAAGCCACAGAGGCTATAGGGAGCTGTGCCATGCTTTGTGTGTCAAAAAGACTTGTTGCAGCCCCCGGCCGAAAATGGGCAGAGCCAAAGCAAACCAAAACAAAAACTAAAAGATTGCCAACAACAGTGAAGTGGATCAAAATGAGCCTTTTTTGGTGACACAAGGAAAGCACCCCCAAAAAAGTGTGTGCTCTCCACCTCAACGAGTTCAAAAGGACCCAAGCCAGAAGGGAGCCAAGCCAGTATCCAAACTTTGCTGAGGGAGCTAAGGAACCACCCGATAAGGACATGGGAGAATGGGGTCGGTGAGTTGATTGTTCTAACCCAGCGTGTTGGGACGGCCATGGTTCGCCCGTTTCAAATAGAGGCTGTTGGTCAAATGCAAACCATGGCCGTAAAGCCAGCATGTGGCTCTTTTCACCTGGAAGGAGTGGGGAACCTGAACGGGACAATGTCAGTTTCCCTCACCAATGTCAGGCTCACATGTCAGCACCCACGGAGCCAGGGTGCTTTTGGTACAACATATGAAAAAACGCCAAGATCAAGCTAGCCACGCCCGTTTACTGGTTGATTCCAATCCATCGCCATTACTTTACTCTTGGGGGATTCGCAGAGAGTGGGATTTCCCAGCCAGTGCTTAAAAGCGTTCCCGGCAATAATTGGTTCCTTTGTCGCCTCAACATAGCTAGTATTTGAACCTCTCCCACAAACAAGCCAAAAAGAACCAAAAATGGTAACTGGCTGCCCTGATCATTTGTTGATGTGGTTTCATAGGGTGTGGGATTCCCGTACCTATTCCCAACGTTGCAGATGTACAAAATAGATAATTTGCAATTCTATAGCCCATCCCTATGGCTACTTGGTTTGACTTCCTTAACTCACAGCAAACAACAAAGGCCAACAACAAGCCCGTGGACGGGAAGACGGCGTCCCTCATCAAACCCTGGCCCAAAGCTCAAATGGGTGTGTCTTTGTTTGCGTGGCCCCTCTTTTGTGGTTTTGCAGGGAACCCACAGGAAAACACCAAACCATTTGTTTGTTTTACAGGGAAGCCTACACGAAAACACCAAACCATTTGCTTGTTTTAAAGGACACCCACAGGAAAGCCCGCCATTTGGGGGGGGTTCCCCCCAAAAAAGAAACCGGTCACCCCGGTCACCCTTTAGCCCATGGTTTGCCTGGTAGGCGCCGATTACGATGGGCGTGGCCGGGCTTTGCAGGCTGTACCGCAGGAACCGCGGCGCGGCGCGGGTGGCGCCGCCTCCCCGAAGCATCGAGCCGAGGCGTCGAATCGGACGCGCCTCGAAACGGAAAAAGCGGGTGACCCAAAATGGTGGGGTGCCCCTGCAAGAAAACAGGAATGGGGTTGACGCTGTTTATGGTGGGGATGCCATCAAGCAAAAAGGGATGTGAAGGGCGTCACTGAACAACTGGATCTCCAAAAAAAGAGAGAAAAGAAACAGGGCTGTGGGAAATGGAATCCACTGCTGCGATACAGCAGAAAGGGCCTAACCCCAAAGACGAACCCCCCAGTTAAAGGGGGAGATTCCCTTGTATCACAGAAGTGGGGATAAACCCCTTGATCCCCACAACCCTGATAAGTATTGGATTGGCCAAGCAAAAAGCAGCCAGCAAAATGATATTGTACCAAGATGGTGAAGGGAAAAGTCGGCCAAAAAAAGGGATATGCTCTTGGTATTTGGGGAACTCTTTTGGCCTATGTAGCATGGGTTGCAGTGCAATCCGTGCCGAAATCCATTTGGGGCATCCTCCCACCAACGAAGGCAGAAGTGCAATGCCTCCAACTTGAGCTTCCCAAAGGCACACAGTGCCTCAAAGCCCATTGTTTGGCTCTTCCAAACATCCAGCATGGGACCTGCAAACGGGGGTTCTTCGACTACAGGGCTGTGGGAAATGACCTCTGCGATACAGAAAGGGCCTAACCCCAAAGACGAACACCCCAGTAAAAGGGGGAGATGCCCAAGAGTATCACAGAAGTGGTTGGATAGAACGCGAGTGATCCACCACAACCCTGCCCCTGCCCCTTGGTTCCGTGTTTCAGGGGGCTGAAATCTAGGCCAAGGACCCCGACCCACGGCGAAAACGACGAAGAAATTCTTCCCCGCCTAGTTCTTCGGTGGCCTTGGAGAAAATGTCGGGTAGGACTTCCATCGGATGAGTTTTATGGAGAAAATGAGAACATGGGTCCCGTAGTGATAAATCGATTCCCCTTCAGACCGCTGCTGGAACCAAAATGAGAACATATGTCCCGTAGTGACAAATCGATTCCCCTTAAAGGCAACAAGGAAGAATACCAAGTATGCTTAAGCAAGTGGAAGACATGATTAGACCAATCGGCCCAGTTGTAGAATGCATAAATATAATTTCTATTGTTTGGTTCCCCTTTGAGCCACTGGTAAAATATAAAATGTATCCTAAGTCTACCCCAGAAGAGAAGGTTGCTCACAAAAAAACCTGCCGGCGGGACGCTTCGTTGGTGCCTTTCTCCCGAGCTCCAACTCGGAACGGGGCTATCGCATCCGACGCCGAAAGATCAGCTTGGACAAGGACCTAAAACCAGCTTTCATGGGGGCTGGGGGGAGGGAGGGGGAGGGATCCCAAATAAGCCAGTATTAAGCCCTTAATAAGGCCTTATTTAGGGCCTATTTGGGCTCCCTCCCCCTCCCCTCCCTCCCCCAGCCCCCATGAAGCTACTGAACCCTACAGTTGCGCGTTCACCCCGCCAGTCACGACCATTTCCTTGTTAGAAATGAGAGGCGCTGGAAAAGAACAAAACGCACGGTAAGTTGTGCAGATGCCATGACTCACGGACCAAACTTCGGTTCTCCCAACCTGTCAGGGACCTGCCTGTGTAAGGGTCAGGTCACAGTCTCACCCACTCAGACTTACAGGTCTGCACTTTCGGCTTGACCCCCCCCCTTGTCGTACCTGTTAGTCCGACATCCTTCTCTTCAAAATCTGGGCCAAAGGTTTTCGAATTAGACCATCACACGTCTTCATGGGGGCTGGGGGGGGGAGGGAGGGGAGGGGGAGGGATCCCAAATGAGCCCTTATTAAGCCCTTAATAAGGCCTTTTTTAGGAAATATTTGGGCTCTCCCCTCCCTCCCCCCCAGCCCATCTTGGTTGAGAATGGAAAGAGAACCGGGGACAACCCATACGCAAAGCGACGACTTCCAGTTGCCTGTTAAACATATATTTGCATCCATTCCTCGAAAGAACCATTGAGAATGCAACTTGAACCATTTGGGGTCATGATGAGACCGTTTCTGCTAAAGTCAGATTCTGGTTGATGGTTTCCTTTTCACCTACTTGGGGGGGCTGTGTGTGACTTTGATACTACTTAGCAGAAGAATGGGGCCAGACCTTGGCGGTTGCCACTTGTATAAGGGTACATACTGCGTTCCAAGCCTATATCAGATTCTTGGTATGTAAAAGCAGTTCCTTCAAAAAGCCATTGGTTAGTTCCTGAGTGGATTGGCCACCACATGGTTCAAACCCGGAAAGTGACCGGAACGGAACTCAGGGAGTGAGTTGGGAATGCCAACTTGAACCAAGTCAGACATTGGTTGGTGGGTTTGCTTTAACTTGCCATTTGGGGGGAGACCTTCAGGGAAGAATGGGGGCGAGACCAAACGGTTCCAAACCAACCCATATCTTTGACACAACCCATACTGCGGATGGACGAAATCCAGCACCACCTAAGAAACCCTGGTTTCTGATGATTCCCCCTGAAAATAAACCCAGCATTTGTAGGCATTTATCGGGGGGAATCCTCAGACACCAGCGTTTCTCAGGTGGCGCGAACTGGACTTTTTCGTCCATCCGCAGAATTTTCGCAACCGGTGACCTCCAAACTCCGGTGACCTCCGCTCAGTCCCATCGGGTCCCATCGGGTCCCATCGGGTGCCCCTCCGCTCCGGGCTCCCGCGCCAGGCGGCAGCGCCACTGCACGGAGGCCACCACCTCCGCCAGCGGCTGCATCCGCGCCAAGGGCCGGCCCTGGATCGATCCCCAGCGATCCCCATGGCCCGTTCTCAGGGATCGTTTTACCTATAGGTGTAAAGAGGAACATGGGCTAGTTACTTCCATTTGCTTAAGCACTTTTTTGTTTTTTTGAAAAACTATTTTCCCAGTTTTCCGAGCCCTGCCAAAAAGACACCCTTCGCAATGTGTTTGGGATTTTTAAGGCTGGGTTCCCTCGGTTACCTTTGCAGGAAAGCCAGGTGATCAGGGCGGAACGCTAAGACTATCCCTATCCCCTACTAGCCATTTATGTACTGTACGGGTTCGGAGGTGGCTCGGAAGGAATTGCTGCGTGTGGGCCGTGCGGACGGCTTCCGCCTTGCATGGAGTTCATTTTGGGGTTTCTCAAAATGGCTGTCTCTTTTTGATGCACCCCTTGTTTTTTGGTCTTGAAAGGAAAACCGCAATCTTGTTGGGTGGCCCGGGTCAGTGTCGGCCTCAAGTTGAGGGGCTAAATTGGAGGTGCGCAACAAAACAAACACCAAACCTCCCATCCCCTTTTGATTTTCTTTAGGGGAACATAGAAAGAATGGGCTTGTTAGCACCTAGCATGCCTCTCCAAGGAAAAAAGTGCCCATGGCAAACATGGGCCACCGTTTTGGTTGGCTGATTCCAACGGAAGACCGTTCCCCAAAGAATGAAACTCGAAAAGGACCTTTTTGGTTGGCAGATAAAAAAAATAAATAAAAAATGTCCAAAACGCGCAAGTGCCTTTTTGGTGAGTTGACAAAGGAAACCCTTCATTGCTCTGACCAACCAGACTCCGACAACGCTGACGCCGATGACGCCGATGCCGACACCAACGCCGATTACGAGAACCACAGGAGCAAGAACAAGCACGACCATATAGATTCAAGGGTTACCGGTTTGGGGCCCAAAAGGAAACAACAAACCGTCCAAGTGCGCTGCTCGCACATTTTCACGCTTGAACAGCCACACTGCGGATGCAATGGATGTAAAACCCCATACTGACCGATCAAATTCTTCACCCCCCTCTGCGTGTTAAAGGGGCCTTTCACAAAGCAGCCAAACAGTAACACAACAGAGGGAGAAGGTCAGGGGAACCATTGTTACATGCAGACCATGACAGTTGCGCTTTCAGCGCCACTGCCACGTCGAATAGCTACCGCTACTGTTGTCCCATCCGCCCCATCCGGACCAATTCTGCCAGCTGCCTTGGCTCCAATGCTCACCCTCGCGGGCGGCGGGAGCACGTGTCTCGGCATAGCGAGCGGCATTGCGAGCAAGGTGTTTGCTGCTCTCGTTCCTCGAAAATTCGATCGAGTTACGTGCATACCGCTCATTCTGGCTGAAAATCCAGTCCATCTCGTGGCGGAGGTCGTCCAACGTGTTGCTTCGCAGATGGATGATACCATTCCAACAACCAATGCTGCGAGGCTTGTCTTGCTCAAAGACCACGTTGATGAAAGCTCTTGGGCTGTAAGGCATCCCTTGGAACATAATGATCCAGCGAGAGGAAAGCGCATCTTGAAGTTCGTTGGGCAAGAACTCCAACTCTGTCTTGATATACGCGAGCCTTGCGATTCGCGACTCCGAAGTTGATCCAAGGCCAACTCCCAGAGTGCGCTGGGCTTGCGACTGCTTTGGAGCAGCCAAGACGAGATTTGCGCTCAACCCCATGCGGAGCATGTCCGCCTCCCGACGGCCCACCTCAAGCATACGAACCCTGTATTGAAGGTCGAGTTCATAGCGATCAAGCAGAGAGTGATAGCCGTTCTTCAGGGCGGACTTGTGCTTCTTCCGTGTCTCCTGAATAACAGCACTGTCCGGGGAGTTCAAGCCACGAATGATGCTGCTACGATCCTCCTCGCGGAGGTCAAATGTTCCCACAGATGCCAGGACCTGAGCTGTGACGTGGGTGCTGAGGCCCATCTTCTTCAGCAGATTGGAACGCTGCACAATGTAATTCTTCTGCTGCTCTTTCAGCAGGCGAGGATTGAGGGGAGACAACTGCCCACATGATGAGCAGTGGACCTGCCCCTCGAATACACTGTTGTTGCAAACCGGGCACGTGGCGACGTTCAGCTCAACGTTCTCCATTGGGTTGAAAGTCTTCTGTCTCTTCGCTTCCCCTTGCGGGGCGCGAGGAGAGGCCACGTTTGTGCGCGTTGTAGCAATACGTTCCAGCGCTGTTGAACGATCATCAACCACGGCTTGGTCGCGCTTCATCCCCTGGGGTTCATCCTCAGTCGCCTCAGCTGGTGCACCTGCATCCGATTGCTCGGAGCGAGTGTACCATACATCGCCATTTGTAGCGTCCAATACAGAAATAATCGTGTAGTTGGGCACCTTGTCGCGCGTAAGGACGCCGTCGCTCTCCGTCTTGAAAAAGCAAAGCCCTGCGCGAATGGCCATCCTGAGGTCGATCTGTATCTCCAGGGGTTTGTTCGCACGTACACCTGAGATGTAATTTTCGTTCGTGCTTGGGATGTCAGCGAAGAAAACGTGAGGTCTGCCTGTCTCGTGCTGGTCCCCTCCTCCTGGAAGCAGTCCGTTCCGCATGATGTTAGCGAAGTTACGCTTATCAGTGCGGTGATAAAGCACCGTAGGAGGGCTGCTGCAAACGTTCCAGCCAGACCAGCGCCCGAGGTCAGTCCCCGGGTTCACGTACCACTCCTTCGCGATGCCGGAGTCGTCGATCTGGAGCCAGTCCTCATGGCCTTGAGAGGCCTTCAGCTTGAAAAGCCAATGAGAACATGGGACGTCTCCGCACCGGCTTGCGTCTGGGCAACCAAGCCCAATGAACCTCTGCTTTTTGTCCAGCTTGAAGATGTCCATGATATTCTGAATATTCCATGGAATGGGATGTCGCAGCTCCTTGCGAAGCGCGAGTCCCAGGTCTTCGAGGTCCATGTAGCCGTCCTCATCCATCACGTACCCGCATCCTTCTGTTCCACGACCACGGAGGATCTTGTGAGATGCACGTCAGGGAACTGTGGTACTCGTTACTGATTCTCCTGACGGAAGGGTCGTAATCGAAAGAGGGCTGCTTGATGATGTCGAGTCTCTTGGGGCCCTCACCGTAGTCGACATACTTCACGCCATCATGAATGCTATACACCCAGCAGTCATAGTGGCCCCCAGTCACGCTCCTCCCGTAGGAGTCGAGTGGTACCGGCCTGCTCGCCGCCTCGTCCCTCTGTGCCACCGCAGCCGCTTTTGCACCGGCTTGCGCCGGGCGAACACTTTCGGAAACATCTGCACCGGAAGGCTCACCTGAAGTTGCAAACTCGGCTGGGTTGACGGGGGCGAAATCGAGAGGCTGCCGGACTTCCACTTCTTCACGGGTGAAAGGGAGCCCGATCATCTCTGACAAAGAAACACCGCACTTCGTTAGCGTCTCCTTGCAGTACGCGAGAACCTCAACGTTGACTGTGCAATCTTCTTGGTGGCGCACCTCGAGCACATCGATCGGACGCATGGTGCAATCATGCGAACGTGTCAGCTCGGCTACGCTGCCCATTGCGGGGCGCAAGATAGAAAGCATATACAACATGTGATGGGTTCCGCGCATGAACTGGACGGTCTTCGTGATGTTGTCGTCACTGAAGCACATATGATACCTGTCCAGCAAATCGATGGTCTCAACAAAGGGTGTAGCATCTACGTACACAAACATATGATTGGGGTCGCCGATGATGTAATCCCGGACTTCCGTCATGAAACGGTCCCAAATCATAGAGAAGCCGTAGAGATAGCTTTTCGCGCCGGTCATGACTCCAAGGCATGCGCAGCCCTTGCGGGCCGCGAAGTCCCTGGTCCAAGCCAGGTGCCGTTTGGAGTCAGCAAGAAGTTGACCGAACTCGCCGGTGGGGGCATCAAATGGATATGTACCAGTGGGCTCGAGGCCGTCCTTCCCAACGAGCTCGTTGCCATTCCAGTAAATCATCGGAATGATGGTGGCTGCTGGGTAGTCGGTACGCACCTCGTCGATGAGGGCGGCCAACCGCTTGCACAGCTGTTGTAAGCCCTTGCCCCAAAGCATTTCTGACCTCCATGCACCGACACGCGCCGGGCGAGAAGCATCCAAACGCTCCGCAAAGTCATACTTGCGAAGCTTTTTCTTCTTGCCCGAAACCATGGACAGTCCTGAATCAGCGACAGTCACATAGATAAGGAGGTCGCGATCTGGTACACGTGGGGCCTGCACAACCTTCAAGTAAGGTTCGCTTATAGTTAACAGGGGTGTAAGCAACTGCAGGAAGTGCGGCTGGTCCTGCACCCATGTATGGATAAGCGACTGTGCAGAGGTCGTCTCCAGGAGGCCCTTGACCGTGGCGGCGAGGTTAGCGTCGTATTTGCCGTTCGTGCATACCGATGTGGTAGCGACATTCTCCATCCACCTCCTCCATGCCGGATCGCAATCCCTCGCGGGATGCGCCATAGCCGTTGCGCCGCTCATTGCGAAAAAGATGCAGCACAATCACTCGAAAGCAACGGCTGCATGGTGGCATGTTCGGAAAATGCATTGTGAACGGCATCAGTGTAAACGTACGTGTATCCCTCGGCTTCCTTCAAGTGAGTGCCACGGCTTTCATCATGCTCGTGAGAACCATCACACTTGAAGTACTCAACAACGGAAATAGTGGGCATATTACTGGCAACGACCCATTGCTTTTTCATTGGTTTTCCATTTCTCCCTTTAATGCCGATTTTGCAACCATGGAATTCATACTTGTTCATCTTGTACTTAGTCAAGAAACTCCATAGTTCGGGCCATTTCCAATAACGACACGCCTTGGGGAGTTCGAAGGCAACTCTAACGTCATCAGAATAGACATCATTGAGAATGCGTTTGAACCCTCTCAACAGTGATCGGAATTGCTTGATGTGGCCCTCAATCTTGGCGGCACCTTTGGGAGTTTGCTGGTTGACATAACCCCACGGGCAACCTCCAGTGCATGGCAACGAAACATAGAACATGATTGCACCCTTAGGATTCTTGCTCCTGAATT